GGAGGGAGGGAGGGAGGAGGGAGGGAGGAGGGAGGGAGGGAGGGAGGGAAGGGGCTGGTGCCGGGACAGGTTAAGGAGGCGGAGGGGAGCGGCCAGAACAGGTGCCCTAGAGGCCGCACAAGCCAGGAGAGCGCACCGTGGGACCGGCAGCCTCCACTCTGCAGTGCACTTTGGGGGTGGCCGTGGGGTCGCCTGGGAGGAAGAGGAGCGGACGGGAGGCAGGCCAGCCGGCGGGGAGAGCAGGGGGGAGGAGGGGCTGCCAGCCCCCGCCCCAACGGAAGAGTCTGGAGGGGGCGGGGGCCCAGGAGCAGGGCTGGCCTGGCGAGGTGGCAGGGGAAGGCTGTGAAGCCGGGAAACCTGTGGGCCGGGAGAGGGAGCGACCCTTGTCAAGGAAACACTCGTTCAAATCCTCCTTCGTCGTCCGGGAAATCTCCCGCGAAGCACGTACACTTGGACCCTTCTTTCCCTTCTTCTCAGGGGAAAAAGGATTGAGAGCAGAACGTGGCTCTTAACTTTCGCTTCCAAGTAAACCACATGACTTGTGTGCAGCTTTATCAGAAAAAATTAATTTTATGTGACTGAAAAAAAAAAAGGGATGGTTTTTTTTTGGAAAGTTGCTGTGAGAATTCCTTGTCCAAAAACTGCAGCAGCTCCCTGCCTACGTGGGGTGTAGCTGACCTGTCCCCGGGGTCACAGTTCTGGTTAGATGTCAACCACGTCTGTCCCAGGAGGGGTTATGAGAAGACCCGGAATGGGAATTCCCTGGCGGTCCAGTGCTTAGGACTCTGCGCTTCCACTGCAGGGGGCACGGGTTCAATCCCTGATCAGGGAGGTCGGGCTAGATGTTCTGAGACCACACAGAGCAGAACAGCCTTTGGCAGACCTCTGCGGCTCTGGGTGACATGTGTTTGTTTTTAAAGTAAAAATAGTGCCACCTTTTCAGGGAGGTGGAGCCCCAAGGGACAGAGCCCCCGGTTCACACTCAGGTCAGGCTCGAGAGCCCACGTGGCACCCTGCTCTCCAGGACACCCCCCATGACAGTCCACGTTACACCTGGGACTGGTATTTGGCGAACTGAAACTGTTACAGAAACGGGGAAAATATGGATAGCATACAGAAAAACTATCAATCAGAGAACTGTTCTCCAAAATTTGCTGTATACCTTTCCACTTTTAGGGCCCATATAGGCATTTGTGCTTTTTCTATACACCTTTTTTTTTTTTTATTTTTGATGTGGACCATTTTTAAAGTCTTTATTGAACTTGTTACAATATTGCTTGTTTTGGATTTTTGGCTGCGAGGCACGTGGGGTCTTAGCTCTCCTACGCACCCCCTGCATCGGAAGGTGAAGTCTTAACCACTGGACCACCAGGGAAGTCGCTCTATACACTTTTATTGTGCCTTTTCCTTTTGTGTCACAAAAGTGGGGAAATCCTGTGCTTTCCGAGGGCAGGCTGCCTGCTTGCTCGGTCTCACCTCAATGCCTGGCAGCGCAGCTACAGTGGAAGCCCCCTGACCACCGAGGACTGAACAAACGGAGGATTCTAGCTGGCCTTGAGCTCCCACCTTCTGGGGCCAGTTTCTTGTGCAAGTTCACCCACCACCAGGCTCTGCAGCTTTGCCCCAGCGGCCCAGAGCCACCACGGCTGGCCCATCTCCAGGGCCTGGGAGGCGGACAGCAGTGCTGGAAGGAGGCGCTTTCTCATCCATCACCTCTTCTGTCCTGGAACTCAGATCTGTGCCTTGGGTGGTGAGATCAGGTCACATGACCGGACTGAGGCTGCTCCAACATCCTCACCACGTGGACCAGAGCAGCTCCCTGAGGGAAGCCTTGGGATGTCAGTGCCCAGGGGGACCGGTGCCTCACCGCAAGTGGCACGGAGTCGGCCCAGTGCCGGCTTCCAGGCGCTGGAAGCCCCTGAGTGCTTGTAAGCATGTGCTATCAAAGCCTCCGTGGGAGCACCTGGCGTGACAGAGGGTAGGCGTTCCTTCCAGGTGTGGGAACCGTGTTGGCGGGTGCAGGCCAGAGGCCAGGGTGCCCAGCACCCTCACATTTCAGTAGCATATGCCATAAACCATAAGAAGATTAGCACCACCTCTGAAATCTGCCTCTGTTCAAGAAACGTGGACACATTTCCCAGATCACCTATGTCCCAAGGCGACCCATTAGCCAAGCCACTCTCATTTACTGATGGTGATGGTGTGCGCGCTACCCACACAACTAGCCCTGACCCGAGGTCCTGAACAGGCAGGTGCTCCTGGCAGGCGGGGGAATATTCAGTGCATAAACCGGGCCAGGCCACGCCACTCTGGGGCTGAACTGGTTCAACTCCCAAACTTGTGATGAATTGGTTAACACCCGTGTTCCCGGCCAGGCTTTCGGGGTCAACAGAGTAGGGCCACTTCTGTCTTGTCTGCTGCATGACCTCAGCTCCTAGCAGTGCCTGGCACTAAGTATGTGCTGAAGGCTGGGTCCACAGCCTGGTGGGGAGTGTTGCTAGGGTCTCAGCAACCCAAGGTCAAGGCGGCATGGCATGACATCACAAGTAGCTTTCCCAAGGTCACAGCAGGAAGGCGCAAGGCAGGAACGCTGGGCTCTCTGCCACTTTATACAACACACAGTAGTGTTTATATGTCAATCCCAATCTCCTAATTCATCCCACCCCCGTAAACACTCCCCTTGTTAGTGGTCCCCGGAGCTGTTATGAAATGCAGCTACCCTACTCCCAGGCTGGGCCTGTAATAACCTTCAGGGGACGCTGAAATCGACTACAATGGGAATTCTGAGAGCATGTAAAATGAAATCATCATCAATGGGAAGAAAAAAATCTTTGTAATGTGGAGGTTTCCTCTGTAAAGGCCCTTGCTTCAATAGGGTTACCTGAGAAGCAGGAAGAAAGATTACTTCTTAAAGTCACAGGCTCCAGCTCCCTTGCCAACTCTGTTATCAGGAAGATAGTGGTTTTGACACAAAATCGCACCACACTGTGGAATCACAGGAATCGTAATATTTCTCTGCCCAGCCCTGTGTCCACATCTTCTAAGCACCTCACAGGCATCGCCTCACCCCCATGCCACCTGCCCTGGGAGATGGGTCTACACCGCCAGCCTCCAAGCCTCTGGCCACCGTGGCAACCACTGACAGAAGGAGCCAGTGGTTCCAAGCGCAGGCTCCAGAGCTGGACAGCGTTGGCTACCAGCCCAACTCCCCCATCACTACTGACTTGCCTCCAGTTCCACTCTGCGCTTCCTCACTTGGACAACGACCAGGTTTCTAACCCTAACTAGTATCTAGGTCCCTCCTACGTGTCAGATGTGGCCCGCAATGTCCTCCGGTAGGAACTCGTTTAACGGGGATGAAAGCATCTCCCTCTGAGGCTGATCATAGTGCCCAGAGCCCGCGTGGGCCCTCACCCGGCTCCCTGCCAGGTCTTCACGCGCTGGCACGGATGGGATGTGGTTAACTGCGGTGGAGGGAACCGAAGTTCAGAGTGGGTAGATGCCTTTGGTCCTGGAGAAGAGCAGCTGGGTCATCGGGAGGCCCCTGAGGCAGGCGAGTCTGAGTCCCAGGACTCAGAGAGTGACACAGGGTCCCCACTCTCGTTCTGGAGGGCCCGGGCCCGCTGACCCTCCTCGATGAGGTCTGCCACCAGGTTCAGCCGGCAGGCCCTGAGCGCCCTCACCAGGTGGGACACGGCCGCATCATCCCTCCTGCTGTTCTTCCAGACTCTCAGCGACTCCCTCACCTGTTCTGCCAGGTTCCGGGGATACTTCTCCTCAATGGCTTCAATCTTGGCGTCAGACACTCTGAGGTGACGAGCCAGTTTCCTCCAGTCCTTCCCCACGTTATCACAGATGATGTCAAACGCTGCCCGCAGGTCTGGGGAGGGAAAGAACACAATGACTGAGCAGAGATTGCGGGAGCTCTTTAGGAGACAGGTTACCCCACACTCCCTGATGGGCTCCTCAGTGCTGACCCAAGGGCTGGGTACCAAGAGGTCCTCCTGCAGAGGCCAATCCTGCCCCAGCTAACCACACCCTGAAACACTACCCAAGAGGCGTGGCCTGCTCTGAAGACTTAACAGTTGGGGTGTGTTGTTACGGAGATACCTACTCAGGACAGGGAGATGGAGTTGCTCCCCCATCTCACCCTACAGTGGGTTGAATGGTGGCCCCTAAAACGTTTTGTATGTTCACGTCAAACCCCTGGAACCGTGAATGTCAACTTATTTGGAAAAGGGCCTTGGTAGATGAGATTCAGTTGACGATCTTGAGACGAGGGGATCATCCTGGATTATCCAGGTGAGCCCTAAATCCAGTGACAAGACCACGTGCCACGGAGGCAGAGACTGGAGCGATGCGGGCACAAGCCAAGAACGCCTGGAGTCCCCAGAAACCAGAGGAGGCATGAAGGCTCCTCCCCGAGAGCTTTCAGAGGGAGCATGGCCTAGTGACACCCTGACTTGACTACTGGACGGAGAACCGTAAGAGCATCAAATTCTGTTGCTTTAGGCCACCGAGATACGGTAATTTGTACGCCAGCCCTGAACACCCCGATTCTTATTCTGGAAGATGTCCTGACTGACACCAGTCCTCAGTCTCTGGCTACTATGTCCTCATCTGCTGAAAAGTCACTACTGAGATCAGCATGACAGACTACAAAAGGCTGTTTCTGGACGGGAGCAGGGAGAAGAGGAAGGACAAAATGCTTCTTGGAAGGTTCCTGCAAAGTTGCATCTTCAAATGCAAATCCCTGATATGCTGTCAGCCTGTGTGCCAACTCCTCCAGTTCTGTGAGGTGGGCACCTGCGTTACTGATCACTTGTACAGAAGAGGAAATGGAGACACGGAAGGTAAGTGTAAGTTATTTCTTGAGATCACACAGCTAGACAACAGCAGAGCCAGGACCACACCTTGATGGCCCATTGTGCAAAAACTGTCCCTTATCAACCAACCCGTACCTCCTGTGACGCTTCTGGCGTACTTCCACTCCACCCGGGAGGTTAGCAATGTCCTTTCCTTTCGAGTAATCTCTAACTCACCCGGAGGGAGGGGGGAGGTGGAGAAAATACTGAGGCTGGGGGATGGGTGTCCATGCTCTGCAACTTAGGCTGTTAACTTCTGTGCACTATGGTTCTCCCATTTGCAAAGTGGATATATTACCCGTCTCCCAGGGCTCTTTAGAGAAAACCCACGCAAACCGAACCCGGAAAAGGTGAGGCGCCCGGGAGATCGAAACTACTGCTGGTCCAGCTGACCCTGCCTCCCCCGGCGCCCCCCCCCCCCCCCCGGCCCCCCCCCCCCCCCCGCCCCCCCCGCCCCGCCCCGCCCCCCCCCGCCCCCCGACCTCAGACCCCCGCCCCCACCTCGCTCCTCCGGCGCGGCCCCGCCCCCACCTGGCTCCTCGGGCGCGGCCCCGCACGCCCCCCCAATCCTCAGGCCCGCGCCCCCGCCTGGCTCCTCCGGCGCGGCCCCGCCTGACCCCCAGACCTCAGGCCCCCGCCCCCGCCCCCACCTCGCTCCTCCGGCGCGGCCCCGCCCGCCGCGCCCGCCTCGAAGTCGTCCAGGCGCCGCAGGAGGTCCTGGCGCCGCAGGGAGACGAGCAGCTCGCGGAGCAGCACGGTGTTCTCGGGGCTCATCTCGTTCTGCTCCAGCAGCACGGAGAAGAGGTCCAGGCCACTCTGCACGCGCTCCAGCTTTCTCTTGCCCACGCGGCTTTGACACAGGAACTTGAGCTCAGTCAGCTCGCTGCTCGACAGGCCGGTCGACACCGAGTGCAGCAGCACCAGGAACGGGTCCATGGCGGCGGGCGCGGCGGGGCCCGGCCCTCCTCTGGCTTCCCCCGGACCGGCCCGCCGCCCGCCCTCTGGCCCGCGCCTCCTCTGGCGTCCTGCGCCCCTCGGCCTAGCGGCGGAAGTTCCCAGTACCAGCGTCTGATGCCCCCCTTACCGGAAATCTCCCTTGGGGCCGCTTTCTCTCGCGAGAACTCCCGGGACTCGCGCATGCTCCCCGAGTCCAACAGTAGCCATTTCCGCCCGGGGGTGGGGGCGTGGCTTGCGGCCGCCGCCAGGAGGCGCACCAGACATGCTGACGGCGGTGGGACCCCGACCTCTGCGCCTGCGCCCTGACGTCCTTCTCCCTCTGGGTCGGGGCGTGCGGCCTTGGGTGTCCCGACGCTCCGGGCGCGGGCTGTGTTTTCTGTGGAAAGTTGCACTGCGGATGCCGATAATAAATGCATTTATTTATTAACATTTGTGAAAATGCATGTCCTTTAGTGTCCCCTGGAAATCAGTGTGCAGAAAAGACTATTCAGAGTTTTATTTAGTTTTAAAAGTTTAATAACTACTTGATTTTTTAAAGTTATCCTCATTATTTTTCTGAATGCTTGTTAGCGTTTACTGACGACTACTGTGTACCACGCAGTAGGTTCTGGTGACAAATTGGGAACAAAGTGCCGAAGGCCCCGCCTGCCCGGAGCTTACAGCATCAGGACACAAGATTACCTAACACTGATAAGAAAGTGCAGGAAAGCCAGAAGTTAATGCGAGTCGCGGCCAAGAGGATAGGGGGATGGGGAGTGTGGAGGTGAGGCGGCGCACGTTGAGAGGGCGGGGTCCCAAGGTGCAGGGGCACGTGCCGGGTGTGAGGGGCCAGGTGTGTAGGCTTGAGGGGAAGAGGGCGGAGCCACAGCAAGAGCAGAAGCAAAGAGGAGGGCGAGGTTGCAGGAGCAGAGCCGGGGAGGAAGGGGGTGGTCAGCGAGTGGAGGGGGTGAATTAGGAGGAGCCAGCTAAGAACGCGGCTTTACTGTCCCTGATACCCTGCAGAGGGTGAGTGGAAGAGTGAAGCCATCTGAGTTACCTAGAGGAAAAAAAAAAGTATATATATATATAAAATTGAGATGTAATTCACATTCTCTACAGCTCACCCTTTTAAAGTGTACAACTCAGTGTTTTTAGTATATTCATAAGGTTGTGCAGTCCCCACCATTTGCTAGTTTTAGTTTCGTCTCGCCCATGTAGAAACCTGGTACTCATTATTAATCACTTACTTTCCTTCGCTCTTTCTCCAGCCCCTGGCAACCACTAATTTACTTCTGTCTCTCTGGATTTGACAGTTCTGGACATTTCATGTAAGTGGAACCATACACTTTTGTGTGGCCTTTTGTGCCTGGCTTCTTTAACTGAGCGTAACATCTTCAAGGTTCGTCCTTGTAGCCTGTGACAGTGCTTCTTTCCTTTTTATGGGTCAGTAGTATTTCATTGTACGGATGGACCACATTTGTGTATGCAGTCATCAGTGGATGGATCTTTCAGTTTTCTCTGCTTTTTGGCCATTATGAATATAATAAATCCCCTACGTAGGAACCTTCAAGTTGCGAACTTTCAAAGATGTGAATGTGGAACTTCCTAATGAAGGCCTGATGGAATTGGAGGCCCAGAGAAAGGACAAAGAGAGACAAGAGGAAGAACAAGTAACTGAACAACCAAAGAGATTCATGATGCAGGAAATGGCAAGGGGATTTTCTTTTTTTTTTTTTTTGCAGTACGCGGGCCTCTCACTGTTGTGGCCTCTCCCGTTGCGGAGCCCAGGCTCCGGACGCGCAGACTCAGCGGCCATGGCTCACGGACCCAGCCGCTCCGTGGCACGTGGGACCCTCCCGGACCGGGGCGCGAACCCGTGTCCCCTGCATCGGCAGGCGGACTCTCAACCACTGCGCCACCAGGGAAGCCCTCTGAGTTACATTTTTATAGAATCACTGGGTAGAACCCAGGAGACTCCACAGTAATCCAGATGAGAGGCGCAGCCTTCTTTTGACCTGGGGCTGTGTGTAAACGAGAGGCACCGAGGATGCTTGTAAGGTCTGAAAGTTGGAGTGTCCATTGGCTGACCTGGGGAGGGTGTGGGTGGGGTTGAGGCAGGAGATAGACGGGCCCCAGTTTAGACATTTACAACTAACCTCCTGTTTATGCTTTAAAAATAAAGATAATAACAGGAACAGGATAAGCAGCTGGACTTTGTCTCCTGTGGACGCTTCAAGGGAACGGGAACGGCAGAAACAGAGAGGGGCTGAGCCCTGCTGGCATAAAAGACAAAGAGACCACATAGTTCTCATTCTTGGGGCCAAGGAGACCCCCTCCCAGACTATGCATGTGCAGAAAGGTTAAAGGGAGGGGGCGCTAGACCATAATATGTTCTGTTAACCTCTCAGAGACCCTTGCGCTGGAATCCATCTTGGCTAAAAGATACATGTGCACACAGGGGAGGGCCCTGAGTCAGACCAGATATGGACTCAGAGCCAGACAAAGCAAGCTGATTGGCCAGAGGAAACCTAGAAGAACTTCCCCCATATGGTTTAAACCACCCCCAAAAGCACACGCCTCTCTCTCTCTCTCTCAGCCTGCCTGTGCTTTCTATTCTTCTCTCCTAATAAACACTTTACTTGCCTCAATACTTTTCATCTCTTTGCTGATTCTTTCTTCAAAGCAGATGACAGCCAGGGCCCTGCTCCTAGCCAATAGTCCCTGGTGGTCTAGTGGTTAGAATTCGGTGCTTTCACTGCTGTGGTCCGGGTTCAATTCCCAGGGAACTGAGATCCCACTTCAAGCTGCCGCTCACTGTGGTCGCTCACAGCCACCTGAGATCAGGGTGAGTCTGGGGGAGGAGCTAGTAGAGATGTTGACTGGATAGTGGGATGTGTGGACCAGGGCTCGGAACAGAGATCTGGGCAGGAAATGTGAAGTTGGGAGTATCCAGCAGATAGATGGTGTTTGTGGTGGTTAATCTTATGTGTCAGCTTGACTAGGCTAAGGGGTGGCTGGATAGCTGGTAAAACATTATTTCTGGGTGTGTCTGTGGGGTGTTTCTGGCAGAGATTAGCGTTTGAATTGACTAACAGAAGCAGATGGCCTTCCCCAATTTGGGTGGCATCATCTAAACAGAACGAAAAGGCAGAGGAAGGGAGAATTCGCTCTCTCTGCTTGAACACCGTCCCCCCCCTCCACTCCCCCCCGGTTTTCAGGCCTTTAGACTCAGACTGAATCACACACCAGCTTTCCTGGTTCCCAGCTTGCAGATGGCAGACTATGGGACTTCTTGGCTTCCGTCACTGTAAGTGAGCCAATCTTACAATAAACCTTCTCATTTATCTCTATATATCCTATTGGTTCTGTATCTCTTGAGAATCTTGACTAATACAGTATTTAGATCACCCACAGAATGAGGTCACCAATGGAGGGAGAGGAGAATGAAAAGAGAACCAAGGTCCGAGGCCAGAGGGTGGCTACTGTAAGGGGGACATGGAGGGGCCAGGGAGGAGGCTGGCATGGGAGGGTTAAACCACACCCCCATCTGCTGGATCCCCAACCCTGCTGCCACATTTCTTGGTCCCCTGAACGTGGCATCTCCTGACTTTACTACACATTCTGCTTCCTGCTCTGTTTTTTGCCCGTCTCCCCTGCAGAACACTGCAGAAGCGCCTAGAACACTGGCTGGCACTTCATAGGAGCTCACAAAATATTTCTGACTGAATGAATCTTGAACAAGGCTTGGTGAATCTGAATCTTCATTAACACAATTATCCCTGCGTCTGACCCACTACCTCGCAGTTTGTAGCTTATCTTTTCATCCTCTTTACATGATCTTTCACAGAGCAAAAAATTTAACTCTTGATGAGGTCCAGTTCATCAAATTTTCCTTTTATGGGGGGCTTCCCTGGTGGCACAGTGGTTGAGAGTCCGCCTGCCAATGCAGGGGACACGGGTTCATGCCCTGGTCCGGGAAGATCCCACATGTCGTGGAGCGGCTGGGCCCGTGAGCCACGGCCGCTGGGCCTGCACGTCTGGAGCCTGTGTTCCGCAACGGGAGAGGACACAACAGTGAGAGGCCCACGTACCGCAAAAAAAAAAAAAAAAAGAAAAAAAAAATTTATAAATTTTCCTTTTATGGATTTGATGGTTATAAGGCTATTCAAATTGTCTATTTCATCTTAATTGTGTTTTGGTAGTTTGTGCAGTTTTGAGGAATTTGTCCATTTTTCTAAGCCTTAGACTTTATGAGCATGGTGATTTGTAGTATTCCCTTATTTTATGTCTCAGTCCATTTTGTGCTGCTCTAGAAAAGTACCATAGACTGGGTGGCTTATACACAACAGAAATTTATTTCTCATGGTTCTGGAGCCTGGATGTCTGTGATCAGGGTGCTAGCAGGGTCACATTCTGGTGAGGGCCTGTTCCAGAGTGCAGACTCTGAGTTCTCATGGTAGCCTCACATGGAGAAGAACAGAGAGGGAAGCAAATTCTCTCCAGACTCTTTTAAGGGCACTAATTCCATCATGGGGGCCCCACTTTTGAACACTATCACAAGGGGGGAGGGTAGAGTTTCAACATATGAATTTTGGGGGAACACATTCAGTCTGTAACATTATCCTTTTAATGGCTATGAGACCTATAATGAACCCTCAGTTTCATTCCTGAAATTGGTGATTTGTGTCTTCTCTAAGTTTCTCTGTCTTGCTAGAGGTTTATTGATTTTATTTATTTGTAATGAACCAGCTTTTTGTTTCAATGATTTTTCTCTATCCCCCCCTCCACTTTTTCTTTCATTTTTTTTTTTTTTTTTTTGCTTGTCTTGGCTATTTTATTTCCCTCTCCTTGCTTTGGATTTATTTTGCTCTTTTTTTGTTCTAGTTTGTTGAGGTAGGCACATAGGCTATTTATTTCTAAGGTAAGCATTTAATTTTATGGATTTTCCTTTCAACATTACTTTAGCTTTGTCCCACAAATTTTGATATGCTGTGTTTTCATTTTCATTCATTTCTATGTATTGTTATTTCCTCTGGGACTTTCTCTTTGACCCATGGATTATTTGGAAGTATGCTGTGTAATGTACGTGTGTTTAGAGATTTTCCTGTTGTCTTTCTGTCATTGATTCCTAGTTTGATTCCCTTATGGCAGAGAACACACTCTGGATCGTTTCAATTCTTTTAAACTTGTTGAGCTTGTTTTAGGGCCCAGTATGTGGTCTGTCTTGGTAAGTGTTCCCTGGGTTCTTGAGAAAATAAAAGGGTGCTCTGTTGTCATTGGGTGGCATGTCTATAGATGTCAAATAAGTCCTGGAACACCCCCCCCCCTCCAGCCCGCCCCAGGCTCCTTCTCATGCCTTCAAGTATTCTGATAGAAGTTCTGCCCACCTAAAGGATTTCTCTTCACCACTGTCCCTCAGGGATGCCTCAGAGAGGGGCTGTGGTGCTGCAACCGTCCACTTTCAGGGGGTGCCTGTGTATCATGTAGAACCCCCCATAAGCCAGGCCTGAGAGTTCTCTTCCTCTGTCAACTGATCACAGGGAACTCCCCGTGAAGCCACAGGTGAACATGAGTGTACAACTGTCTGTTTGAGTCCCTGCTTTAAATTCTTTTGTTTATATATCCAGAAGTGGAATTGCTGGATCTTACGGTCATTCTGTTTCATTTTTTTGAAAAACCATCCAAGTGTTTCCCGTAGCAGCTGCACCATTTTACATTCCTAACAGCAATGCACAAGGGTTCCAGTTTCTCCCCAGCCTCACCAACTCTTATTATTTTGTGTTTGTTGGATAACAGGCTTCCTAATGTGTGTGCAGTGGTGTCTCGTGGGTTTGATTTGCGTTTCCCTGATGACCATCTTGAGTATCTTTTCATGTGCCTATTGCCCATTTGTATGTCTCCTCTGGAGAAATGCCTATTCAAGGCCTCTGCACACTTTTAACTGGGCTGCTTGTCTTTTTCTTGCTCAGTTGAAGGGGATCCTTATATATTCCGAATATAAACCCCTAATCAGAAACATGGTTTGCAAATATTTTCTCCCATTTTGTGAATTGCTGTTTCACTGTTGATTGGTTATCCTTTGATGAAAAAATTCTTAAATTTTGATGAAGTCCAGTTTATGTGTTTTCCTTTCACTTGACATTGTCTCTTTAAAAAAAGAAATGAGAAGCCCGCGCACCACAACGAAGAGTAGCCCCGGCTCGCTGCACCTAGAGAAAGCCCACGCACAGCGATGAAGACCCAGTGCAGCCAAAAATAAATAAAATTTTCAAAAAAAAAGAAAGAAAATGCATCTTTTGCCTGTTTTATGGATGAACATTGGTCTTTATTCATGAGGACGGTGAACAGAGTTACTTTCCTTTCTTTTTCTCCTGTGTCCTCTCGGTGTGCTCCGGGATCTTTCTTTTTGTTTGTTTTGGTCTTTCTCATTCCTTTTGAAGTCTCTCCTTAGATATTTGGGGATTCTGGGCTTTGCTTGGGGGTAGTTAGTTTTTTCCCAAAAAACCCTCCTTCCTGGGGGCAGGGGTACATGGTGGACAGGACAATGGCCCCCAAGGTGTCCAATCCCAATTCCCAGACCTTGTGAACGAGTTAGTTTACATGGCAGGAGTGACTTTGCAGGTGTGATGAAGATGAAGGACTTTGAGATGGGGCGATCATCCTGGGTTATCCCAGGGACCCAACCCATCACGGTCCTCATGAGCGGAGAGCTGGAGAGACAGCCGCGGGAGAAGGACTGGCCTGGAGATGGCGGGAGGGGCCCAGCCCTGCCCACGCCTTCCTCTTAGCCCAGTGAGACTTGTGTCAGACATCTGGCCCACGGGACTGTAAGGTAGTACGTTGGTGTTTTAAGCCACTGGGTTCGTGGTCATCTGCCCCGGCCACAAACAGAAAACCTACAGAGGCCGCACATGCTGGGTCTCTTTCTTCCCTAAGGGCAGTTCCCACAGATAGCCAGCAGGAGGCGGCAGCCACCCACAAGCGAAACCAGACAAACACTCCTGCTGAGGTCAGGATAGCGATCAGGACGGTGACAGCGGGGTGAGGAGGGCTGACCGGAGGGGAGCGCCAAGGGAGGCTTCTTGGGCGCTGTAACATTCTGAGTCCGGACTGCAGAGCTGTGTGCTTTCTGGGGAAATTGATTGTATACGCAAGACCTGTATAGTTTTCTGTACGTTATACTTCAATAAAAAATGTTGGGGGGGGAGGGGGCTTCCCTGGTGGCGCAGTGGTTGAGAGTCCGCCTGCCGATGCAGGGGACACGAGTTCGTGCCCCGGTCTGGGAAGGTCCCACATGCCGCAGAGCGGCTGGGCCCGTGAGCCACGGCCGCTGAGCCTGCGCGTCCGGAGCCTGTGCTCCACAACGGGAAAGGGCACAACAGGAAATCAGCCCTTAGTATGTAAAAAAAAAAAAAATTGTTGGGGGAGAGAGAGATGAAGGGGAGGGGGTGGCCAGCGGAGAGGGGACAGCAGGAATGGACACGCTAAATAAATTACCTGGCAGAGCTCAGGAAATCAGACCTTAGTATGTACAAGGTTGCCTTTTTCCCAGGGGTGCATCCTGACGGGCTCTCGGCAGGGGCTGCGGAGAGGGGACAGCAGGAATGGACACGCTAAATAAATTACCTGGCAGAGCTCAGGAAATCAGACCTTAGTATGTACAAGGTTGCCTTTTTCCCAGGGGGGGCAATGTCCACCAGCCCTTCTGAGCAAACCAGGCTTAAAATGCTTGCGCTGAGCCAAGTCGGTGTCTCTGGGCAACAGATGTATCTTTGCTACAGGCTTCTCCGACAAAGGCTGCGAGTGAGCAGGGGGTGGGCTACTTGCTGTGGGCATATCTGTGGTCCAGAGGGCACCACACCTTCCCTCCCATGGGCCCCTCACCTCCTCCACCACCATCCCTGTCAGCTTGACTCAGAGGTCCACTTGGCTCAAAGGCAGAAAGGCCTAGTCATCAGTCTTTTTGCCATCCATCCATCCATTCAAATGTCCATCCATCCATCCATCCATCCATCCATCCATCCATCCATCCATCCATTCAAATGTCCATCCATCCATCCATCCATTCAAATATCCATCCATCCATCCATCCATTCACCCATCCACTCATCCACTCATCCATCCATGCAAATGTCCATCCATCCATCCACCTTTCATTTCTCCCTCCCTCCCTCCCATATCCATCCACCCATCCACCCATCCATCCATCCATCCATCCCTCACTCACTCACTTATTCATTCATTCAGCACTTTCTGGTGCCTCCTCCATGCCTGGCACTATGTCAGTGCTGCTTCCTGGCCTCTTTTCTGGCGAGTGTTAGCATTTCTCTACTTTGCTGTGGCTCCTACAAAACATGGATGGGTGAATCAGTGTTGCCGAAGTGTGGGGCACACACCACCTGTGGTGGGGGGCACGGGAACCTGCAGGTGAAAGTGTGTGTGTGCTGGGGATGTGGGTGCCAGGGCCAGGGGCTCTGATTGCAGCCTTGGGGCAGGGACAGCCCTGTCTCAGGCACACACCTCGGCCAAGCTCAGTTCCAGGGAAGCCCACAGCTGGTCCTGGATCCCAGGAAAGGGACCGGGCCTGCGGCTTGTCTCGAAGGGCCAGTGACTCCAGGAGCTGCAGTCACAGCCACCCCCCTCAGCCAGTGGGAGAGTGGGGAGAGGGGCCGTGATTGTCAGAAAGGACACGCACTTTCTAAAGAAGAAGGGCCACCACTGGTCTCCAGTCGAGTGCAAGAATGTGACATGGTGAAAAATACAGCTGTGTCATCAGATGGCGTGATTTTTCAAGAGAACATACAAATCTGGATTTCTATGTGTATGTACCGGGTTTTTATATATTAAATTAACTAAAAAAATTTAACAAGCACTGAACCTAACAAACAGAGGTATCTTGGGCTGATTGCAGCTCACAGCAGCCTCCACCTTCAAGAGAGCTGCTGAGTCCCCATAAAAGATGCTGGCATGAGTGCCCCCCGCCCCAGACCTCAGGCCCCCTGCAGGCCCTGGTCCTTCACTGTCTGTGCTTGGGGGCCCAGCCCTGCCCAGCTCCTGCCACACCACTCCAGGGACCAGAAGCAGAAACTGTTCAGTGCTGGGTGCCAGGGGCCTGGGTCCAAGGGATGGCTGTGTAGCCAGCTTGCTGTGTGACCGGAGCAGAGCCCTGACCCTCTCTGGGCTTCACTGTGTCCATCTGTGAAATAATGGCACCGTCTGACCAGCTCATCTCTGGGGGTCCTTTCGCTGCCAGATCCCAGGTCTTTGTGATGTTAATCTGTTGGCTTTCTTCCACCCACCTCTACCACCCTCGTCCAAATCCAATTATTGCTCATCTGAATTTCTGCAACTCTCCTCTGTGGCTCCCCACCCCACTGCAGTGTCCATCCAAAACCACCAAGACCTCAAAATGTGAATCAGATCCATCACTGCGCTGGTTAAGACCGCTAGTTAAGACCGCCAGACCCTGCCGTGGACTTACCACCAAGCTTGAGGTCCTCACTAAGCCGGGGGCTGGTGCAAGTTGGTCCCCGATTCCTGCCCCGTCTCCTGCCCCCTCCCCCCCCCGTGCCTCCCCTCCAGACGTGATGAACTTCTTGATGCTCCTCCAACTCACCCAGCACACTGCTGCCTCAGGGCCTTTGCACATGCACTCTGCTGCCTGAACCATCCTGCCTTCCTCCAGGGTTTTACATTCTGGCTGCTCCTTGTTCAGACTCCAGGGGCCTCCCTGCCCAGCTTGGTCACTCTGAGTGACTCTCAGTCACACCCCTGTTTCATTTTCATCAGCGCCCCTTCCTTCCTCTGAGATGATCTGGTGCTGGGTTCATTTTCTTGTTCAGCCTCTGATGCCCACTGCAAGAGGTCATCCCCTGAGGGAAGGGGCCATGTCTGCCTTGCTCGCGGCTTCATCTTGAACGTTGCCTGGATGGATCTCTCTAAGGGGTGCCGAGGAGCCCCATGATCTTGGGCAAGTCACCTCCCCACTCTGAGACTGTTCGCTCATGTACTCACTGGGGCCAAAGATCCTCCCCCTGGGAGGACCCATGAAAGGGGAGGGCTTCCGGCGATGCTGGCCCTGGGAGCCACCCTCATCAGGACTAAGGAAGAGGTTCCAAAGCTTTAGAAGGAACTTTTATTTTTTAATTTATTTTTGGGCCGCCTTGCACAGCATATGGGATCTTAGTTCCCTGACCAGGGATTGAACCCTCACCCCCTGCAGTGGAAGCGCAGAGTCTTAACAACTGGACCGCCAGCAAATTCCCCAGAAGGACATTCTTGACCGAGCCGCAGCCAGGGCCTCGTGAGCTTGGATTTGCTGAGATTTCCCTGGGGACACAGCAGCACAAGGGGCGCCCGAGGCCCCCCCTGGCCCTGCGGGTGTGCGGGTCGAGGTCTTGCTGACGTTTGAGTGCGAAAGATAGTCTTTCTTTCATGAAATGATGGTGATTATAGGTAATGAATTAAAGAAAAAGTGCCCCCACTGGCCCAAATGAAAGCACTGGCAACCCTGGGATGGTCCCAAAAAGGTTTGGGGGAAATTTTAGGTCCACAAAATCCAAAATACTAAGAACTCTGTCGGGTTGCAGGCACCAGGGGTTGGGATCTGGGTATCGTGGAAGAGGCTGCTGGGAAGGTGTGACCACAATTCCCCCCTCCCCGGCGCACATACGGGTACAGGCATGCACACACACAGACAGAACAACACAGAAACGCACATGCACGCAAACCACACACGTGTGCACACACACACAACCCATGCACATACTCGTGGACAGACAACGTCCCAGGAACATCCTGAAGAGCCATGTGTCTGGGGCTGAGGGTGTGGAGGTTTATGGGTCCCTCCACATGTGCAGGTCCAACCACGGGGCTCTGGGCTTGGCCCCTCGAGTTTCCTGGGGCAGAAGTCACGTGGACAGGCTTTGAGAGGAAGGTGTCATGTATGCAAATTTATTCAGACGAGCGTTCAGCCACGGTCCTCTGTGGATCTGTGTACACTCACTTTTTTTAAAAAAAGAACGGTTTCCATAAAAGGTTTTTTGGTAATCACCTCATTTTTAATACAATGTTTATATACAAAAAACCCCATTTCAAACCACTTACTGTACAAGAGAAAGTAGAAGCATCAGATTGCATGACTTTAGCAAATAACAAAAATCTGCTACGCCTGCGGACTTCCCCCCTAGTTGACAGCTCACAGGAATGTCAGCGTCTCACTGACCACACGTTCAAGACAGACACGTTTATCTTTTCGTCCCTCCCTTTGGTGAAACATTTCTTTTATGTTTCTCTGGGTGCTTGAGAAATTTCAGATCATTGGTTAGTATAATGGCTGCAAATTGAGATCATTCTTATCGGCTATGAGATTTGTTTTCACAAGCTTTTAAAATGATAATAGTCCAACAGTAACATTCCTGTAAGTAAAAATATAGAGAAGTGTTACCAAAATAGAAGCCTTTATTAATAAAAATCTTTGGTATTAACAGTATTTTAAATTCCTCTCAGTGATATTTGGTTAGCTAATAAAATAAAAGCCTACCGCCTTTGAGCTACAGAGAAAAAACCCTTACATCCACTGTAGAATTGATTTTTAAAAAAGCCCAATAAATATTCTGAAGCTGCAAAAGTACCCCCCAGAAGCCTTAAGACTTCTTGCAACTCTGAAGCCGTCTGCAGAAATGCCTCGGAGGTCATAATCCCTCACCGCCCGTTTTTCTGTCACCCTGAGGTGGGGGAGGCACGTGGCTGCTGGTGGGGACCCCAGAAGTGCCGGTCACTGCTCATTCAGGACACCTGCACCCCGCTAGTTCTCCAAGAGTAAATTCAGAGCTTCCTGGCCCTCTGAGTGGACAGAGCCAGGGCACCTCTCTTTCTGAAGAGTGTCTCGGTTTCTGAATCCAGGGAAGGAAAAGGTGATGAAAAATTTCACTTTTCCAACCTAGAGACAGGTGATGTCTTTTGGAACTGATGTCAGCATCGTTTATTCCTTATCCACTTCTCTGTTTGCCCTCAAATCTCGCACCAGCTTTTGTCTAATGCCTTGGAATACCACCTCGCCTCTCTCTTAAGGCATCAGGAGGATTAAAGAAGATGTCTTCTGGGAGCTGCTTCTCACCGCTAACGGCCAAGGAGACCCCAGGCTCCAAGCATCGCTTCCGCAACGCGCCTGCATCCGCTGTGTATCACCCTGTCCCCAGCAATCATTCTGATTAACCTTGAATCCTAAAGATAACAGAATTCCCTGCCTAAAGGTTTTGTGCAAAAACAAGAAAAAAACAAACAGAAAAAGATGGGGAAATGTTGTCCTATCAGAAGAAAGTGGTCTTCCAGGCCTGCCACAAACCCAGGAGCCACTGGGCCAGGGGGCTGTGAGAAGTCGCCTGCCCCGGGAGAGGGCGCGCGTCGTCGATGGGGATGCCCGGCAGCTACGGGGCGCCCCCGGGGAAGTCGGGGCTGTCCGGAGGGGCAGGAGGGGTGGGGCTGTGGTTGTTGAAGGGCTCCGCCTTCTTCCGGTCCTTCTCCATCCACGTGTCCAGCAGCTGCTGTTTGCCCTGCTCCTCCCTCATGAACAGCTCCACCATGAGCACCTTCTCCTTGTGCATCTGCTGGCTGATGTCCTTGGGGATGTCAGGGATGACCCAGTCCACAAAGTCGCTCATGAACATGACCAGGTTCTGGAAGGAGAGTCGGCATCAGGCGGTGGGAAGGAGGACCTGGGAGGCACTGCCACTTCCACCTGCACCCCAGCTGGCAGTGCCTTGCCCCGTCACACCCCGGCCCTGGGACCTCAGACACACCTGGACTTCCCAGGCCTCGGTTTCCCGGAAGGTATAAATGAAACAGGAAACCAGCCAGGGGGGACCTCTGGTGGCCGACTTTCTTGAAAGAATCTGAGCTCAGTAAATAGGAAACGTCTCTGAGTGATTCTGAATCTCTTGGCTGGGAGGCTTGAGAAATGATCTGATTGGTTACCCATCACCAAATATAACAAGTGTTAAGGCTTTAAGGGAGAATAGTCAAAATACAAAGAGGCCAGAAACGCAGGGAGCTTAAACTGTCTCTGATGATTCCGCAGGCCCTTCGGCCATTTGTCAGGTCTCCCGGGATCACCCTGAACGTCTGCCGCTTCCCTGGATGCATTTCTGGTCCATAGGGTGCAAATGAGTTGGCTTTTGTGGAAAAACGGAAATCTCTGGTTTTTAAACTTCCGTCTGACCGGCACTTGTTAGTACGTATGGCTGAGTTAGTCACCTTGTCACGGAAGGTGCTGGTGCCCCCCCATCCACCATCACCTTTCTGGGTTGACGCTCCCCAGCTGTGGTGGGTGCTGGCCTCTAAAGCTCACAGAGGCTCGTCTCCAGGGAACCGTCCCCCCAGTCTCCCTGTTCCCAGCCTGGATGGTTGCAGCCAATGACTGGCCAGGTGGGCAGACTAAAGGCCCTCTTTTGCGTCAAGGTGGGCCCACGTGTGTGGTGGGATCCATGCTCCAGCCCAGACACCCTCCCAGCTGAGCTCCGTGCCCCCTGCCCCTTGCAGGCCCTTCCCTCAATGACCGGCTTGCACCAGAATCCTTGACTCAGGCTCTGCTTCTGGGGAACTGGGCCCCAGACACTAGTTCTGGCTCCAGAGGGTTATGGAAAGCTGGCGGACAAGGCAGTGGGGCCTCGGGGGCCGGAAGCCCTGCCAGGGGCCACACTGTGTAGAAGGGGCAGGGCTGGGGCTTGAACCCAGTTCCTGGATTCCAGGTTCTGGGGGCCACACAGGAGGGCAACCCCAGCATGGCCTCCCCGGCTGGGACCTCAGGGCCGCGTGCATCATCTACTCCCCAGCCTGGGGTCCTGTCCACTGGGGATCGCTCGGGCCTCAGAGTTAGCCCCACTCCCCAGAGACTGGGCCAGGCGGGGCCAGGTCCCCCGCCTGCTGTGCGGGGGCAGGGGGGCGCTGGTATCAGCTGGGAGCCCACTGCCCTCCCGTCCTTCCCTGCCAGCCCAGAGACTGGGCCAGGCGGGGCCAGGTCCCCCGCCTGCTGTGGGGGGGCAGGGGGGCGCTGGTATCAGCTGGGAGCCCACTGCCCTCCCGTCCCTCCCTGCCAGCCCTGTCCACTGGGGCGCGTCTCCTGCTGCACAGTGACAGGGGAGACTGAGGTCTCCTTCAATAAAGACGCCTTGCATTTAACTAAACCTGCGTTCCCTGAACGACCCCAGTCCTTCTGGAACCCCCCTCCCGCCTTCCTTTAACTGAGGAGGGGCTGGGACCTGTCCTTGCCCAGGGCCTGGGGTCACCAGTACTCCCCACCCTTGGGTGCCCAGGGCAAGTCCTCCAGCCCCCGAGCCCCCGATGCCGGCCAGCTCCTGTCCTCCTGACCCTGTTCTGGGCATAGAGCACCTCCTCGGTGCCTCAATTCCCAAACCTTCTGGAAGCAGACAGGACCCTCGCACCTGGAAGACGATGACAAAGGCCAGCCGGGCGGCCAGGACGGCCCAGAAGTCCTTGGAGACGTCGTACTTGTGTTCCGACCATGGTGGCTCCCGGTAGTCTTTGTACCTGCAAAATGGAGTTGGGTCTCTGAGAGGAACTGGGGTCTGGCCGCACAGAGGGGCTTGTGAGTGTCAGGAAAGCCTGAGTCGGACCCTGGGCCAACTGTAGGACAGCACCCTCCCTGGAGGAAGAGGCCCCTCTCCAGCCCACTCACACGCCCAGGGAGTCTCCCCATGTTGGAGGGGGTGCCAGCACCCACGTGGGCTGGGCAGGCCAGAGCGGCGTCCCCATAAGTCCAGCCGTGGGCCCACAGAAAGAGGCTCCGGGACCATCTGGTCCAGGGGTTCCAAACTTTTGAAGGCAGTGGAGCCCATTTTCTAAACAGAAATCCCACCTGAGACTCTGGTAGGTCACACAAAGCAAGTGGGGCCTCCCTGGTTGAAGAGGGGTGGGGTCCCTAAGCCTAGAGACTCAACCCAACCCCCATCATCCACAAAACTCCAGGCAGGGCTCCCTGAAATCCAGTTCTCCAGTCTCGACCTTCTCTGTAGGGGAAACTATTGGAAAAAATGAAACGTTTTCTCAAAGTAGCCCTTGTACGACGTTAACCATGCAGTTAGTGTGGTCGGGGCACCAGGGAACTGTCCCCAGGCCCGCCCTGCCCCACGGGGCCCAGCGCCCGAGGGGCATGTCTCTCCCTCTCCCAACTGTTAGCTCCTTATCTCCGTGTAATAAATACCAGCCCGGCCCTCTTCTCATCACTTCCAGACATTGCCCATGAGCGCCTGCTGGGAGACAAGGTTGCTTACTTCCCTGGCCCCCAAGGTCCCACCCCTGTCCCTTGTGCAGCGGGCGTGGTGGGTGCCTCCGGGGCTTTAGGTCTGCCGTTTTCTCCGAGGCCCAGAGATGCCTGATGTGGGGCAGAGTGAGGATGAGAACCCGGGTTCTGTCCCCACCAACCGCCCCAAAATTTGGGAGGTGCTTGGTTTTAACGGGGCTGACCCCCTCTGTGTGCGAAAAGCTTCCCTAAAGCCGTGTGAGGAAGCCATGGCCGGGGCGGTTTCTAGGTGCTGGGTTGCAGCTGTGCCCTGCTGGTTACTGAAAAGCTGAGGCCCAGGTGGGGAGACCAGGAGAGGAGGCACCTAGCTCTGTGGGCACAGGCCTCGCATAGACCCAGAGCCGGCTCCCGCCTTGCTGTGCATCCCTGCTCCATCGCTTGGCCTCTCTGGGCCTCGGTCTGGCATTCCCTCACTTAGTCATGTCGCAAGTATTTATTGAGCAGCTACTGCATGCCCCTGCATTCCAGGGGCAGAGCTTGCTGGGGGCACAGACAGGGCCCCTCACCCACAGAGCTTTGTGTCTGAGGGAGCTGGATGGGAGCCTCGGAGGGCCTGTTCAGAGCTAAGCTGCCAACCCCAGAGACGGGATTGGGCTGGGAACACACCCTCTGGTGCCAGCTGCTGAGCCACGCAGAAGATGCACCACCTGATCTCCGATGGGAACAGGCATCCCCTGTTCTCCCAGCGTCAGAAGCCACACACATTTTCTCTTCCCTCTTCTTTCTGTTCTCAAGGCCAGTTGCACCAGGATGCTGGGAAATGTGTTTGGGTCACCTGGCAAACTCCTATGCATCCCTCAAAGCCCACTTACATAAGAACCGTCCAGATGCCAACCCCCACCACCTGCACTGGCCTCTATCAGAGATGATCTTACAGCTTTCCTTGCTTTGCTCTTGTGCTAAGCCTGCCAGCTCTCCCTGGGGAGAATAATAATGCCCTCTCTGGGGCTGCTGTGAGCATTCAATGAGACCACGTCTGTTTCAGTGCAGGAATAAATGGTAGCCAGCAGGGGTCACAGCGCTCAGCTCTGCTAAGCTGCCTCTCCCATTCCTGCTGCCCCAGGCTGGGCTGGGTGCTGCTCCTTTGGGAGGCAGCTTGACAGGGGAGCGGCCGGCAGCACGGAGCTCACGGCACCTACAGCACTTAATAGTGGGCAACGGTCGGGTGGGCCTGGCTAAAGCCCGAATCCCAGGGAGCAGAGTGGACTGGCCCATGGCCTTCCTTCTCTGTGGGGGTAAAAGTAACAAGGTTCTCACTTAAAAACCAGGTCTCTGCTCTGTCTCCTTGGCCTCCCCCTCATGGCCAGGACTCCTGACCGATGCATGGATGGGGAGGTGCTTCCGGGGGCTGGATGCCCGATGTCCGATTCTTACCCAGGAAACACCAATACTGACATTTCTGAGGGAATTTATAATAAAATGACCACCTCTATCCCTGCCTTCTTTGTTCTAAATCATTCTTCCTCTAAAATTCATTTTGAGTTAAATAGGTCAGCCTGAGTGTGTTCTTGGCGTGGGATGTTCAAACAAAACGGGAGTAGTGCAGCGCTGGCTGAGAAGCGGCAGGGGTCCTGGACCGGAAGCTCGGGGGTCTCTGGGGCCCGTGCCTGCGGAGGATGGCGAGGAAGGGACCTTGAGTCCCTGCCCTTGACCCCCAGCTCTCCAGGCAGACCCTGCCCGAGGCGACCACGCAGGGGGTTGAAGCAGATCACCTGGGCCTTTCCTGTGATGTACGTGCTCACGTACATGTGCCTTGAAACATGCGGTGGGTGGGATTCTGAAAAGCGGGAAGCATGTCGTGTTGCCTGTTTGTGTGTCACCTGCCCTTTCTCGTTGGCAGGCCTGGCTGTACTGGGTCCCAGAGTAGGTGTGGTCCCTGCCCTAACACAGAACACACGGCACGTCGTGTAATTTCTCTTTAAGCACTCGGGGTCAGCCGGGCACACCTGCTGTTGCAAAGCCCTCAGTAGCACCTATGCCGGACACGTCTGCCTGCCTGTTCCAACGACCGCACGCGGTGCTGGTTTTCCATTTCTTGGGCCAGTTTTTTTTTTTTTTTTTTTGCAAGCAGCCACATGTCACCGCTTGTTGCTGTCAGCACCCTGGACCCTGGCTCTAGTCTCCTCCGCTTCCTGCTACTAGGGCAAGGGTACGAAGACAGACAGGTAAGCTTGACAGAATATGGGCAAAGTAAGAGTAAACAGCCTTGGGGTAGATTATCCACCCTACGCAGAAAGGGCTGCGCATCGCGTGGGCTTTGTGACACGCGCTCTGGCCCTTGCAGTCTTTCGTGTTTTGAATCTCAGCGGGGCTGGAGGCGGCGCGGACTGCCCACAGATGCCGGGTGTGCCCCACTCTGCCTCCCCGGTCTCAGCCTCATGGCAAAGCCCGTGGCCAGTCGCTCCACAGTCCTCTGTTTCTTGACCCGGGATGCCGTGCCCCTGCCCGCACCTTCAGTCCTACCGTCCACGTTTCCCTTTACGCTCCAGAACAGGCTGTAGTTTCCCACCCACAGGCGCCCCTGCTCACCACTCTTCTTTTACCCGCTTTGCCCCTCCCCTTGGAGTGAGCCCTACTGCCTACACCCTCTACCCGGGCTTCCTGCTACTATCACCGCTTTAACTCGATCTGTTTATGCTTCTGTTGTCCCTGCACAAAGTCCCTGGGCAGCAGGGATCATGTGGCCCATTCCCGAGCCCCAGCCCTGAGCCCCCGGCCCCTAACCCAGCCAGGCTGGCACGTGGAAGATGCACAGCGAATAGCCAGGCCTGGCTCTGCCCCTCACTCGTGCCCCCACCCTCTTCCCCGCCTCCGTCTTTCCTGGGGTGCTACCTGCCCGCCCTGAGTGTCTGGCCGGCTGATGGGGCCCCGCAGGTTGGACCCTCTCAGACATCTGTTGCTTTTGCCTGCCCAGCACCCAGCACCCCAGTTTTCCTTCGGGTGCCCCCAAATCTATGGCTATGACTCCATACCCTGGCACACGACCCAGACCTAGCCAACAAGATCCCCGCACACTCTGGCAACAGTGATTGGTTCAGGGATGGGCCTCTGACCCGAGACAGGTCATTGAGACTCAATCCTAGGACTTCTGCTGACGAGTGGGAAAGAAAGCCCCCCTACTGGGACTGCTGAGCAGAGAGGACTGCTGGGGGACGCTTACTGCCTGTCAGGAAATGACGCCCACATGCAGGAATGTATAGAATTGGGAGGCAGTGTCAGAATGGGGCCGGATGACAAACGGCAGCCCCTGGATCCAGCCATGCCGGAAGCCTCTCATGGGCTTCTTAGTTAAAGAACTAATAAATCACATCCTACCCCTACCCCAGGGATATTTTCTTTTCCCCTTGAAGCAAGACTGAGCTGTTCTGTGATTTGCCCTGAAAGAATCCTGGCTTGAACTGGGGTTTTCGCAGAAGCCCACCAAATGGGGCTCTTTAAAGAGAGCTGCCTGGGCGGTACCTGCAGATCTGCACTTCGTAGCCCAGGTCTAGGGGGTCGTTGGGGGCCGTGCCATTCTGGAAGTCGCTGACATTGAAGGAGGAGAGGGTGTGGTTGACGAAGCCGTGCATGGTCCTGTTCTCACTGTACATGTAGAGGTACACCAGGCGAGGGATGAAGTCCGACGTGAAGGAGATCACGAACGCCTGGGGCGGGAACAGAGCAGTGAGTGCGGATGCCAGCTGCGAGGGGGAGGGCACGCACCCCACCTGAGCCAGGGCAGCGCTGGCCCTGGGGCCCGGCCACGTGACCCAAGTTGGCAAACATGACCCCATGGCCTCGGCTTGTCGAGTGACAAACGAAGGGTTGGGGGCATTCCTGTCAGCCCCTCCAGCACCTTGAGGAGAGGGCCCGGGGGCTGGGAACAGGGCGCCCCGAACGAGAAGGCTTGGGGACAATGCTGGCTGCCTCTCACTGGCTGTGTGGCCCTGGACAAATCGCCTGACCTCTCTGTGCCTCCATTTTCTCTTGTCAAACAGGGCTAACAGCGCCCGCTCTAGGTGCTTCTCCTTCCTGGCTTGTTTGAAAGAGAGCGAGGCAGGGAGGGAAAGTGCTTTGTGGATTGTGAAGTTCAGACCCAGCTCACCCTATTCTAGAGCAGTCCCCGGGGCAGTGCAGTGTAAGGCCAGTATCAGAGCATGGACCCGACGGCCTGGGGTAAAGTCCAGCTCTGCCTCTTGTTGGCTGTGTGACCTTGGGCAAGTCACCTGACCTCTCTGTGCCTCGGCTGTATCACCTGCAAGATGGGGCAATAACCCTCTGCCTCCGTGGGCCGTGTGTGCACTAGTGGGTGGGTGCACTGAATGGGCTTAGAAGGGCCCGGAGCATTCTAGATGCTCAATAAATGTTAGCTGCTATTATTATTATTGTTGCTGCTGGCTGCCCTCACGAGACGTCCAGCTTGTTCCTAGCTGCTCTGCTCTCAGCGCCCCCATGCTCATGCCCCACAGGGGCTGTACCTTGGTGTTTCCAGCCTCTCCCCATCAAAATGTGCCCCCCAGCTCAGCCCGGGTCGGGGTGTGGAGCTGTCACTGTCCAGTGTGCAAGCTCAGCCCACGGCCTCCCTTTATAAGTGGGGTTTCAAAGCCTTAACCCAGCGGGACTGGGTGGCTGACAGGGAGCTGTCGGCCAGCAGGGAAAGCAGGTCCAGGGCTCTGAGGGTCCCTTCTCCTGGGCCGAGCATCACTTCCTGTGCCGTGGGGACTGAGTGTCAGGGCCTCACTGTGACCCTGACCCAGCACTGTGACCATCTGCTCCAGGGAGCTGCCTGCCCGCCCCCCGCTCCATCCCCGACCCTACAAGGCGCAAGGTGGCAGCTTCTGGGGGGCTCAGGCTTGGCCGGCTGGTGGAGGGGTTAGGGTCACAGGGCTGAGGCGTTGCAGACCCCCCTGGGGTTCTCGTGTCAGGAAGGCGTGGACCAGATGCTGGGGCAGGGCCATGGAGCGCGGGGCACTGTCCTCAGCGAGCTCGTGTGTCTGTGCGTGCCTGTGTGCGTGTGTGTGCGACTGGCAGGTTCCTCTTCTCTCCGTGTTTCAGTATTTCTCAAACTTTCTTTGAAGAGCGGGCATGAGTTTCACATAAAGGGGGAAAGTTAACTTTTTTTCTTTGGCCGTGTCGCGTGGCCTGCGGGATCTTAGTTCCCCGACCAGGGATCGAACCCGTGTCCCCTGCAGTGGAAGCACGGAGTCTTAACCACTGGACCTCCAGGGACGTCCCAAAATTAACTTTTTAAAAAAAGAGCAGAAGAGTTGCTAATGAGGTATCTCCGTGTCTCTCTCTGTCCCTGTGTCTCTGTGTGTCTCTCTCTCCCGCCCTCCCTGTCTCTGTCTCTCTCCCTCTCCCGCCCTCCCTGTCTCTGTCTCTCTCCCTCCCTGTCTGCCTGTATCTCCTTCTCTTGTTTGTTCTCAGGACTTGGGAGAGAGGGGACTTAGGGGCCAAGGTGGGTACAGTGGAGGGTTTTGCCCCCGGTTTCAGAGAAAGGTCGAGGAGATTTTGTCATTCCCACCAGAGCCCGCCCCACCCCTCAACAGGACCAAGGGATGCTTCTGAAGAGGAGATGCTCCTGCCAGCTGGGAACCGCTCCGAGGCTGGAGGTACGGACCAGCTCCCTGGAAGGGGAAGGGGTGCCCGGCCGCATGGCAGCTCGGCCGGGCTTCCTGGCCGAGGTCCTGACGTCACCGGTCACTTACGTTGATTATGACGGCAAGCTTCCCGATGCCTCTGAGGATATCGTACCAGATTCCTGCGGGGAAGGGAAGCACAGGTTTAAAGACCCCCCTGCCCTGGATCTCAGTAACTCGGGCTAGCAGGCAGCAGCCCGGCCTTCGCAGGGGCCGGTCTGGTCCTTTTCTGGGGCAGGTCAGACACGTGGTAACAGGGAATTGTTTGGGGAGGACCTGGGGGAGCCTGGCTGACAACAGAGCCCATGGCTTATACTGGCTCGTCAGCTGTTTTTAAGCAAACTGTGTAGCTTCTCAAAGAGATGCTTAGAAACATCTGGTCCCTGGTTCTGAACAGTCTCCCGCGAAGCTGTGTAAACTACTGATCGGCTTGGATGGAGCCTTTTTCTAGAGAGACAAAGATTCAATTTGGACGCAGCTCCTGCCCCAAAGAGCCCACGCAGCAGTAACTGGAGACTGAAACCACGAAGTTTGATGTCCTATGAATTTTCCGTAGCTCTAGTGCCAGGAAAACTGAATTTAGGGACAGGCCAGATGCAGGGCGAGTGTCAAGGAGCAAAGCCAGGGCCCCCGGCTGGTGAGGCTGGGACCATGGCCTGGGTATAATGACTGAACAGCAGTGCGGTACAAACCATTTCCCGTCTGGATGCTCCCTTGTTCCCATCACCCCAAGGTGGAGCACTGTACCTAATTGCAGGTGGACAGAAGGACGATTACACAGCACCTGGAGAATCACGCGCTGCTCCACTGGCCTCCCTCCCAGCAGAGACAAGAACCAGAAAGCCCGGGACGGAAGCACTTTACCCAGGGCTAGCCCCACTCCTTAGGGCCTCAATGCTGCGACTCCTGGAAGGGCGCCCAGTGCCCCTGCCCCCAACCTGACCGCGCTCCTATGAGGCTAGGCACACATCATCGAAAGCTGGGGCTGGAATCCTGTCCCAGGCACTCTCTCTCCCTGCCCGGAGCCAGATCTGAGTGATGACAACGGCACTTCTCGGGAAGGGCTGGAGGGGACAGTGGCCGGTGGTTGGGGGTCTCTACCCAGGGCACATAGAACTGCTCATGGGCGTTCCTGCCCTCGCAGCGAGTGCCCGTCTCGGGGGTGTATGCTGGGGGTCTGCAGAGACAGCAGGAGTTCAGGCCCATGTAGCCCAGAAGCTGGAAGCCGCAGGCTGGGACCCAGCACCCGAGGTCTGCCGTGAGGGGGCTCCCCAGCCGGCGCCGGGGACCCCACTCCATGAAGCAAGCATTTACGCTGCCCGCTGCAGACCCTTCTGCGGGGCCTCGTGGGAGTAACGCTCACCTCCCTGCCCATCAGCCACCCGTGCAGGCTATCACCGAAACGGAGATGCGAAGTTCGTCCCGGTTCTGTTGGGTCTTCCCACGAGGGCAGCGGTGTTTGATTCACTTCCGCGCTGGAGCAGTGGCAGGGCGGTCACGGGGCCTGCACTCCTCGGGGCGCTAGATCCACCACCCTTCCTGTCTCTCACGAAGGAAGCACTCGAGGTGCAAGTGAGCAAGAGGCATCTCCTCGGACGACGCATCTGTACAAAGTCAGCGCTGTGCAGGGCCCACCCTCACGGCTGGCCGCCTCGGGGGCTGGGAGCCCTTCTGGAGACTCCACGCTCCCAGGGAGCACATCCTTCATCCCTCCTGGGTCTAGCACGCAGCCTGGCACGTGGGGCTGGGTGCTGTTGGCTAAGTGTTGGCTGAGTGACTGTATGAACGTAGAAAGCCCTTCCAACTAGGCTTCACGCCCGAGCAGAGGTTGCCACATCCAGGTGCGTGGGTGTTTCCTCGAGCTTGCCCGCTACTTAAAAAATGCTGGTGGGAATGTAAATTGATACAGCCACTATGGAGAACAGTATGGAGGTTCCTTAAAAAACTAAAAATAGGGCTTCCCTGGTGGCGCAGTGGTTGAGAGTCCGCCTGCCGATGCAGGGGACACGGGTTCGTGCCCCGGTCCGGGAAGATCCCACATGCCGCGGAGCAGCTGGGCCCATGAGCCATGGCCGCTGAGCCTGCGCGTCCGGAGCCTGTGCTCCGCAACGGGAGAGGCCACAACAGTGAGAGGCCTGCGTACCGCAAAACAAAACAAACTAAAAAATAGAACTACCATATGACCCAGCAATCCCACTACCGGGCATCTACCCTGAGAAAACCATAATTCAAAAAGAGACATGTACCAAAATGTTCACTGCAGCTGTGTTTACAATAGACAGGACATGGAAGGCAGGATATGGAAGTGTCCATCCTCGGATGAATGGATAAAGATGTGGCACATATATACAATGGAATATTACTCAGCCATAAAAAGAAACGAAATTGAGTTATCTGTAGTGAGGTGGATGGACCTAGAGTCTGTCATACAGAGTGAAGTAAGTCAGAAAGAGAAAAACAAATACCGTGTGCTAACACATATATATGGAATCTACGGAAAAAAAAAAAGGGTCATGAAGAACCTAGGGGTAAGACGGGAATAAAGACACAGACCTACTAGAGAATGGACTTGAGGGTATGAGGAGGGGGAAGGGTGAGCCGGGACAAAGTGAAAGAGTGGCATGGACACATATACACTACCAAACGTAAGGTAGATAGCTAGTGGGAAGCAGCCGCATAGCACAGGGAGATCAGCTCGGTGCTTTGTGACCGCCTAGAGGGGTGGGATAGGGAGGGTGGGAGGGAGGGAGGCGCAAGAGGGAGGAGATATGGGAACATATGTGTATGTATAACTGATTCACTTTTTTATAAAGCAGAAACTAACACACCATTGTAAAGCAATTATACTCCAATAAAGATGTTAAAAAGAAAGATACAATGCAAATAGAAAAAAAAATGTTGATGGATGTTCACAGACCGGGTTGACGTATTTTTAAAAAGCGAAACTTGCTGCTTCTAAAGGAGCCTCAGCTCTGGGTCAGCATCGGGCTGGCATCTCCATGACAACAGTTGGCCGTGGCTGGCAGTGGTGCCTCCTTCAGGCCACAAAATGCACTGCAGGTCTCTCTGTACCAAGGCAACTCCCTTTGTCACCACCAGTCGCTTAGAGAGACATTTAACCAAACCCAGACCTGACTAAAGTGGGGAGACAAAAAAACCCCGAGGGTTGGGTGTTTCATGGGAACAAGCACGCCTGCTGTATATGTTTCGTCCACTCCTTCTTGCGGCCCTGCCTGGCCCCGAGGGCTCTGAGCTTGAGAACTCCGAGTGGGGGGCCGGGGTGCCGATGAGCCGGGCAAGTTGAGGTTTCCGGGCAGGGGGCTGCCTCGGGAGGCGGCTCCTGAGCACAGCAGGAGGAAACGAGTCTGCGGTGGCCCAGGCAGCGGCCCAACGGGCTGAGACAGGTGACAACAGAAAACGGGGCTGCTGAGGTGGGAGACGGATGGGCCAGCGAGGGCTTTCCACGGCCCGGGGCTGAGCCGGGCTTCCAGGTCCTGCAGTGCCTTTATGTCCGGGCCGACGGTCCTCTGTGTGATCCCCACCCCAGAACCGTGGGCTCCTGTTGCAAAAGTGCAGAACCCGGACGCCGCCCCGGCCCACAGGATCAGCCTCTTCTGGAGCCTTGACCCTCCAAGTTATTCAGACACACACTCTGCACTCCAGGATAAGAATCATTGCTCTGACGACCTCGAGGTACAAGGGGCTGATGCTGTTTGGGACAAATCTTGGCTTCGCTTATGAAAATCTCGCGGGGGGAGATGCCTCATTTCCATCGGCCTTCTTCAAGGCATCACTGCTGTCCCAGGAGACGCTAAGCCCCGTTTCCAAGCACACGTCAGGGAGGTGTTTAGACACGCTTGTCAACTCTCAGCACCCGGGAGCTGAGCTCAGGCAGAGTTCCTCACTCGGAAGGCTCTGAAGAATGAGCATGAGGGCAGGAAGCATGCTGGTCTGGAGTCAAAGGTCCAGGACTGCGATGCTGGAGCCGGTTCCCACGTGCGCACGCGGCTGGGTCACTGCAGCCACTCGCCACGCCCCCCCTCTCCAGGGCCAAGCAGGGCAGTCGCGGCGCCTGTGCTTTGTGGCAGAGCTTCCTCCAGACACCCCTGGCACCGTGGGTGCAGGTCATGGGGGCCACTGGGGCCCTCTGTCCTCTCAGGGCCCTGAACGGATCACAGGAGGAATACAAAAGCCTCTTCAAGGAAAGGTTACCGTGGAGGAGGCCATAAACAAACCCAGATTATGCTCCAGCTGACCAGGCAGGAACCAGGAAGGGAGCAGCCAGTCCGTAAGGACTGGGAATAATCGAGGAGCCGCGATCAGAAACCCTGAGGATATGATCCAAGCCCTGCTCGTGGTGGGAACGACAACACCCACCAGGGCTGCGGAGGGCCGGTGGCAGCGTGGCGCCCTGGTGCTCCCTTCCACCCTGGGGGGGCTGCAGGCTCTCGGTGCTGCTACAGGACATGGCCATGGCTCTGCCAGGCACAGATGCCAAAGCAAACTCTGGCCACCGTGGACACGCCTGGGGCCTCCGGGCGCCTGAGAATCGGGCCTTTGTAAGCAACAAGTGGTGGGAGGCGACGCTCTTTTCTTCACGGCCGCTGGGCACGGGCTCAGGATTCCCAAGGACTGTCCAGGGAGCGCCTGGCGGGATGACCATCTGCCCCATGCAGGCCTCAGGCGTGCACCTCACAGAGGTGTGCCAGGAGGGGCCGAGGGCTTGAGTGCTCCGCTTCCAGCTCAACTCCGCTAACCACCTGGCCTCAGTCTCCCCATCTGGAAAGTGGGACCGAGGATTTGCCCCAGCTTCCCCACGAGGCTCCTGGGGGGACTCGACAGCTGAAAGCCCCAGAGAAAGTTCAATGCCAGGCACAGCTCTCTGGGGTCGTCCTCAGAGCAGGGCGGGGTACGCTTCCGAGAGCCCTGGGTTCCACGTCACCTTGATCTCGAGGCGGGGATTTGCAAACACGGCCTGTGGCTCAAATCAGTGCATGGCTGGTGTTGTTGGATGACCCACGAGCAAAGAATAGCTCTTGCATTTTCAAGCGTGAGTGAAAAAAGCGTGAGAAACTTAGCCTTTCGGTGAGAATTCTGCACATCACCTCAGTCCACAGAGACAAAAACGTTTACTCTCCGGCCATTCATGGAAACGTGAGCCGGGCTCTGACTCAGTGCAGCAGCAAACCCACTGCTTTGGGCTGCTGTCCCCCCCGGCCCTGTGGCCACAGCCCTCCCGGCTACGTAGGGGTGTGGTGTGAGGGGCGAAGGCTCGCTCCAAGGCCACAGATGAGGCAGAATCAGGGACCCTGGGGGCCAGAAGGGACTTCACAGGGCCAGTGAGTTCTGGGGCCTTAAAATCTTTTAAAATCATCAACGAAGTCTAGGAGGGAGGACATCTGTTTGCCGGGTCTTTGCTGATTGTCTGGGTCGTCCAGATAGGAAGGAGAGACTAAAGTGTCAAAACACAGGGCGATGACCTCTGTACTGCAGCTGGGCTTAGACGTCCCTCCTGGTGGAACAGCGAGCGTGCCCGGACCCTCTCTAAGCCTGGGGCCGGCAGGTCACATCACGAAGCCCAGAGCACAAATGTGAACCAGGTGAAATCACCGATATCTGAGCGCATCTGAATCGTGAAAATGGTAATTTCATCCGGTTCAACCTGAGAGGCTGCACCCTGTAAAGCCGGACTCCAGGCTTCTCGGGGGGCGGGGGTGGATGGTGGAGAATCAGTGGGCCTGGCATCATCAGTGGGTGGGGGCCGCACCATGGGGCCCAGCACGGGCCAAGGAGCCGCTGGCTGGGGATGCAATGGCCTCAGGGGCGTTTTCAACAAGGGCGACCCAATGCCAAGGGTGAGAGAAGGTTTTGGAAGGAGTGATGAAGCATAATCTTGCATTTTTGCAAGATTATATTTGGGCTACAAAAGCCCAACCCAGACTTCTCTGGTGGCGCAGTGGTTAAGAATCTGCCTGCCAATGCAGGGCACACGGGTTCGAGCCCTGGTCCGGGAAGATCCCACGTGCCGCGGAGCAACTAAGCCTGTGCGCCACAACTACAGAGCCTGTGCTCTGGAGCCCGCGAGCCACAACTACTGAGCCTGCGCACCTAGAGCCCGTGCTCTGCAACAAGAAAAGCCACCACGAGGAGAAACCCATGCACCGCAACGAAGAGTAGCCCCCGCTCGCCACACCTAGAGAAAGCCCGTGCGCAGCAACGAAGACCCAACGTAGCAAAAAATAAATAAAAATAAATAAATTTATTAAAAAAAAAAAAAAAGCCCAACCCAAAGATCTATCTCGCTGGTGTGCAAACCTTATTTTGGTAAAATGACAGGTAACATCCCTAACACACAATTCAATCTTGTTTGTTCTAGGGACCACCACAGAACTAGCACAGGTGCTGCGGTAACTAAAATTGCGTTCAATAGGAGATAAAACGAATATATTTTGTAATTTTCCATCTCATTTCAAGATAAAATCCCAATAAAGACTTTTTTGTTTTCACCCTGAAAATTGGGTCCCGGATTAAGCTGATTCCCTTTAAGATACGATGAGCATCGTCCTTGCTGGTGTGGGCCAGCTGTGGCCAAGGCGTGCATGGGGCTCTGAGCCCTGCCTGCTAGATCCCCCCACTCCTGGACAGACGGGCACCCACATATGCTTAAATGCCTCTGGTGACGGGGAGCTCACCACTCCACAAGGATGTCGGTTCCACTTTCGACACCTCTGACTATTCGAAAGTTAGTCCTTATGCTGGTGTTAAACGTCCCCCAACCCCAAGCCTCTCTTCCACATGGATGAGGAGCCCCTTAGTGACTCGGGGTTAAAAAGCCCAGGCTGCTCTCGGCCCTGACCCAACAGGCAGGTGACACGATGCTCTTCCTTCATTGCTGGGAGGGGGCTCCCTCCTTCCTTTACTCTTCTGTGAACGTTAAATGACTAAATGATACACTCTGTAGGAAGGCACTGCTGAGCAGCTACTATTAGCTGGTCTGGCTCTGTGCTCTGGGGCCACGCAGACAGCCGGGGAGGGGCAGGGGTGCTGAGGGCCATCAGAGGGAATGTACCTTGTGGGCCTCCTGGAGCAGCACACCGGGGAGCAGCTCTGATATCCGAGACACGAGCTCTTTCCCAAGTGTTCTCCGTGGCCCACACATCTCAGGAGCTGGCTGTTCGGGGTCGGGTGGAGAGGGGCCTGGAGGCCCTGCATCCTCACCCCCCGCCCCATCTCTGACCCTGTCCCCAGGGCAGGCACAGTGAGGAGCCCGGGACCCCACTTTGCTAGCTCTGCCTCTGGCTTCCGGGGAGCAGCATGCTTTCCCCAAGCCCAGCATGTCCTCCAACCCCAGTGCCCAGGGCACTCACCGATGTCCTTGGCTCTGACGGCCACGGGTCTTCGGAGCTCGGTGATGAACTTCTTGGCGTCCAGGCGTATCTCAATGATGTTGTTCAGCAACGCAAAGAGCGGCGCCAGCGGGAAGGACGCAACGAACAGGGTGACAAAGCCGAACTGGATGACTGCGGAGAGGAGGGGGCGGTGGTCAGCATGCACTGTCCCTGTCCCGGGATGGCAGGACCCCCGCCCCACGCCCCCGGGTCGGACGGGGCCCTGCCTCCCATGTGTAAGAGGGGATCTGGGACACGCCCAGGCCGGGAGGGAGCTGTGGGCAAGGTTCCAAGTTTTGCTCTGGACCTGAGTCTTGTCTCTTGAATAAAGGTCGTGTACTCACTTATCATATGTCTGATCTTAAAAAATCACCAGTTAACGGGAAAAAGGTACCCGTGAGCACAAAGGCCCAGCCTCAGTCACCCTGTGTGCGGGCCGGGACGGTGCCCTAGTGCTTCCTAGGACCTGGCGGGCCCGCGAGCATCACTGCGCCTCCAACAGCCCCCAGCGCCCCCCTCCGTCGGGCCCCGGGGAGCCGGTCGGGGACCGCCGCCCACTGTCTGGACAATCTCGCCCCTCTGCCTCCCTCCCTCACTGTCCCTCCTTCTGCTCATCATGGGCCGGCGGGGCAGGTCGGGGAGAGGGTGCTGAATGGAAGTGAGTGGAGGAAGCTGGCTCAGGAACTGCACGGCCGGACGTCGCCCAAGGGCGCTCGGTGCCAGGCGGGAAACAGGGAAGCCGGCAGAATGCGGCCCCGGGCCCAGCGGGCTGAGCGTGACCATTGTTAGCGCGGCGGGGTGCATGGAGGCTCTGTGTGATCCCTCGTCCCAGAGCCATGTCCCTGGCCCCTCACGTGCCCATGAGGGCTCCGCGGGATGCTTCTGTGGATGCTGGCCTCGCCTGAAGGCTCTGGAGATGATGGACGGGATGGAGGCCACTGGATAAGCTCGGCGTCGGGGCCAGGGGGCTGCTGAGCCCCGAGGCTGCGGGTTCCCCGACTCCCGAGTGACACTGCCTCCCCTTGCAGGGACAGCAGTGGGGAGGGCAGCAGGAGGCGCGGGTGGGTCACGCCCACTGGGCCTTTTCTTCCACCTACCCCATCCCAGCCCGAGTCGGCCTGGAGGAGACTGCCAGGCACAGGGTGGCTGCTCCTTGGGTGGGCAGGAGGGGCCTCCCCCAGGAATTTCATTTCACTAAACCCCAGAGGACCCAGGGCTCTCCAGCCACCATAAAAGTTAAAATCTGGGGACTTCCCTGGTGGCACAGCGGTTAAGAATCCGCCTGCCAATGCAGGGGACATGGGTTCGAGCCCTGGTCCGGGAAGATCCCACATGCCGCAGAGCAGCTAAGCCCGTGCGCCACAACTACTAAGCCCACGCGCTGCAACTACTGAAGCCCGCACGTCTAGAGCCGGTGTTCCACAACAAGAGAAGCACCTGCTCGCCGCAACTAGAGAAAGCCTGCGCGCAGCAACGAAGGCCCAATGCAACCAAAAAAAAAAAAAAAAAAAATAGTAAACTTAAAAAAAAAATTAAAATCTGGGGAAATGACCAACTGCAGTCTCTCAGCAGATCATAGGCTGCTGTTCTCGGTGTCCATCCGCCCACGGGGTCAGGCAGTGGAGACCCTCCTCCCAGGCCCCACGATGAGCATAAACAGCCGGGCAGAGGGCAGGCCTGGGGAGGCGGCACCCACAGGGCGGGGAGCTGCCCGTCTGCCTCCGGTTCAGCCTGGATTTGATTCCGGGACAAAACAGAGGATGTCACCCAGACACCACACCATCTCCTTGTCTTAAGTCTCAGAGTGTTATGGCACCGGCGTCCGGGAAGCTGGGAGCGACTTACTGGAACCAACTCTGCCAACAGGGAGGGACGCGCCCGCGGTACAATTAAACAGAACTGCTTCTGAAACCCAAGGCCACCCCACTCCTGACCGGCCCACCCTGCAGACCAGTCCCTGGCTGGTTTGCCCAGGTGCCTGTTGAAACGCAGAGTCCTGGGTCCCACTCTGCACAGACCAGGATTGGGCCCGGGAACCAGCATTAAAATTTTTTTTTTTTTGCTGCACTGCGAGGCTTGAGGGATCTTAGTTCCCCGGCCAGGGATCAAACCTGGGGCCCCGGCTGTGGAAGCCCAGAGTCTTAACCACTGGACTGCCAGGGAAGTCCCCCAGCATTTAAGATAAGCTGTCCGTGGTGGTTAGGGGGCACGACACTGGGACCCCTCTGCGTGAGTCTCAGCCTTCACTCATCCATTCATTCAGGGAGCACATATTGAGCACCCACTGTATAGCTGGACCTGTGCTAGGGGCAGGGGGTACAGCAGTGAAGAAAAAAGACCTGCTTTCATGGAGCTTTGATTCTACAGGAGAGGCAGATGGTGGAGGAATGAGAAAGGGTTGGGGACTAAAGATATCAGCTGTGGTGAGAACCAGAGAGCAGGGGGAGGGGCTGCCCTTTTTAAACCCTGTGGTGGGGAAGACCCCTCTGGTGGGGGACATTCTGAGCAGAGCCCTGGAGGAAGGGAGAGAGGGAGTGACGCTCATACCAGGGGAAAGCGTTCCAGGCAGGGCACAGCCAGCGCAAAGGCCCCTCGGCAGGAGTGACCTCTGTGAGTTTGGGTAACAGCAAGGAGGCCAGCGTGGCCCAAGTGGAGGGAGAGGTCGGAGGTGGGGTCAGGGAGGCTCCAGGTGGCTGCCGTGCAGGCCACACCTGGCCTGTCCCCTCTCTCTCTCGCCCCACTCTTGGGAGTCATGTGCCGCCTCTGGGCATCCTCCCATCCAGCGGCACAGCTGCAGGTGACACGGCTGAGTCCTGGGTGTGTCCCGCTCCGTGCAGGGACCGCAGCGAGCCCCAGGCGGCCAGCTGGCCCTTTTCCGTCCTGCCCCGTCTCCCAGGACAGGATTCTCCCGTCACTCACTCATCTCCATGTACTCCGGAGTGAGGCCCGCGAAGGGTTCCAGCGTGTAATCCACCTCGTACCGCTGCTTCTTCTTTACGTACTCGTCGTGGTCAGAGGGGCTCTGGTGCTTCAGCCTCAGATAACGGATGAACTTCTTCATTTTCCTGAAAGACACATGACGTCACCTCGGTTAGGTTTCCAGGAAGGTGGGCTCGGGGGTCTGGCACCTCCAAGTTGTTTTTCCAATTCTCTGAGCCATCGAGCGTTCTCAATCCTGAACTAACATCTTGGTGATGACCCCTCTGTTGATGATTTCCTTGGCCGTTTTCCCCAGGGGCAGGGGGCAAGCATCACTGCTCTGTTTGTGACATGAGGAAACGGAGGCCAGGGAGGGCCCCTCAGGGGTCTGTCCATCCCCAAGCAGACTTGGCTGCCTTGGACCATGGAGGCTGGCACGTGGGTTTGGGGCCACCTGTGGGTACCCTGCATCCTCAGCCAGTTGGGAGCAGGGGTCATCCTGGCCTCGTCCCTGGCCTCGTCCACTAGGGGTGGCTACTGCCCATCTTCCTCCCGTGTCCTCACCACCTCCCTGTTTCCGGTGCCCCCACCCTGGTCCAGGCCCCGCATCACCTGTCACCCAGACTACTGCAGAGCCTCCCGAGCGCCCCAAGGCCCTGATCTCCCCCTTGCTCCGCCGTGACCTGAAGCTGATGCTACTCACGGGATGCCGATCTCAAACAGGTTGTTCTGGATCAGCTGCTTCCCCAGCATGATGATGCTCAGCTGGATACACAGCTCCATCAGGCAGCCCCCCGGGGCACACTGCGGCACAGAGAACGGGCGTCAGCCCCCGCCCCCGCCCTGCCTATCGGGAGAGACGACCCCAGCTCCCAGCGAGGGGAGGTCGGCCCTCGTGCTGAGGGTTGAATCGTGTCCTCCACGTCGAACCCCCGGAACCTTGGAATGGAACCTTATTTGGAAATAGGGTCTTTGCAGATGTGACCGGGTTAAGATGAGGTCGAGCTGGCATAGGGTGGACCCTGCTCCGATTGCCGGTGTCCTGATAAGAGGAGGAAACACACAGGCACACCGAGGGGAGGAGGCCCCGTGAAGACGAGGCAGAGGTTGGAGAGGCCCATCGATGAGCAGGGTGAGGCCAAGGATCGCCCGCGGCCGCCAGAGCTGGGAGAGAGGCCTGGAGGAACCCTCCCTAGAACCTTCGGAGCGAGCGTAGCCCTGCGGACACGTTGAGTTTGGACTTCTGGCCTCTGGACCCATAAGAGAATCAATCTCTGCTGTTTTAAGCGACCTGGTCTGTGGTATCTTGTTACAGCAGCTCCGGGAAGCTAGTACAACCTGGCCAACAGGCTCTCGGGGCTGCAGCAAGGCTCAGAGCGGAGCACACTGCCAGGGAGTAGGCAGCGGCGGGGGCTGGGTCTCAGGGCTGCTCCTGCCCCAGGGCCACGCAGGCTAGGGCCGTGCAGCTGGGCAGCCGCGGGGTGAGGGAGCCGGCCACCCCTCGGAGGCCGAATGCCTTGTGGGTTTGTACCGGGGGCCGGGCAGGCCGTCAGAAGCTTAACTTGTCCAAGTGAAGGGAACTCAAGGGACACTGGGTGACACTCTGGGGCACAGCTCACTCCTCTCTGAGTCCTGAGCAAAACTTTATATACCATTACCAAAGAATTTATCTGGGACAGCCATCAATCTCATTAAAAAAAACAAAGACGTCCTCCGCTTTATTCTACTCCACAAAGGCATTTCCCCAACTTCTCCAACCATTAAAGAGCTTAACAGGGTGTCTGTCATCCATGTAAATGATGTGTTGTATAGCGGGGGAGCACGTCGTGGGCTTCTTGCAAACATCCCTTACTGCGGATGAGGCTTATGTCTTGGGATGTTCAGGGGTCGGCATTTAGGTGGTTGAACTTCTAGACTGTGCCCCAGGCAGCCAGATGACCCTGTGCCTGATGCCCACCCCAATCCTCCCCACCCTGTTTCACAGAATCTTTATCAAGAAGACCCTGATAAAAAAGAGCCTTCTTTTCTGATATGCTGAACTATTCTGGAAGTTGGAAATTTGGACTGGTTTCCCTGAGACCTGAAGCCTGGCTTGGTCTGACGGAGCTGACGGAGCAAGTCTGGGGGCCAGGACTCAGCGGCAGAAGGCAGACCTGGAGTGGCCGGAATCACTGAGCAGAAGCCCAAGGTCACCAGCATTCCGCTTGGCGGGGAGAGAGGTGGGCATTTCAATGTTAAAGTAAAAGAAGCATAGCTGAGTCCTGTTTTTTCCTCACTAATTCATCTTAACCAAAGAAAAAAACATTCAAGGTCTTAAAAAAAAAAAAAAAAAAAAAAAAAAAAAAAAGCGGGTGTAACTTTTTGGCTTCCATGACCCTGAAGAGACGTTCTCCTTTTAGGGTAATCCTATATGGACAGGCCAAAGGAGATCGAAGCCCCATCCCTGCAGCTGGAGAACAGAGCAGGGGTCTCTCAGGGCAGGGAACCGTCAGGTTTGCTGTGAGGACGGAACCAAGAAAGCGGAGCAGCGCGTACGATCTCGTTACCTCTTCCATCCGGAAAGAACGGAAAATGTACACGTAGTCGCCTGGGCGTCCGACAAACCTGCAACAATTGGGGGTCATTCAGAGAGGGGAGAGCGGGCTCGGGGAGACCCCCAGGTGGGGACTGGGCCGTGTCATGATTCCCCAGGTCAGAGCCTCCGGTGTCTCACAGGCTTTTCCCTCCGCCCACGTCACCGACTAAGAATCAGCCACAGGGCTTTTCTGTTGGTCGAACGCTCATGTGATTCCCAAACCAACAGGTGGGCAAGAAAACACAGCTTCAACAGGAAACCAAGAGGCTGAAGGGCAGATAGAGGGGAGGAGCCCAGGAAGGGAAGAAGGTACAGCAGCCTAAGGGCAGAGGGTGCCACCCGCCGTGGCAGGGTCACGGAACCACGCTGGGGACTGTGGACCGGCTGGGGTGCGGGTGGTCCCTGAGGCCGCCTCTCAGCCTCCTGTGGGATGAGGGAGTAGGGGGCCTCTGAGAGCCTGCTCCGATGTGGGTGTTCTCAGCGGGGCCCGGGCACCTCGGCCCAGCTCCAGGACCCCAGGGTGGAGTGGTACTTATAAATCACATCATGCCAAGGAAGGTGACTTCGGAAGGGGTTCTGGGATCAGCCCTGCCAGCCTCTAGGCGGAGGGGTGGTGGGGAGTCTTGGTGGGTGGGCCACAGGCCCCGATAAACCCAGGACGGCTCCAGAGGGTCAGGGCATGGGGTTCACCCCCCCCACCAGCCTGGAACACCAGCGGCTGCCCTTCCTATATCTTCTCCTGCAGCCCTCATCCCCCGCACTGTGGGAACCCCTGGAGCTTGCTGCCTGGGATCCCTGCTTCCCAGGGTTCTGTTCCCTGAGGTCCTCAATGTCTAGGGTCCCTGCTTCCCGGGTCCCTGCTGCTTGGGGTCCCTATTCCCTGGGGTCCCTGCTTCCCAGGGTCCTTATTCCCTGGGCTCCCCGATGTCTAGTGTTCCTGCTTCCCAGGGTCCCTGCTGCCTGGCGTCCCCAACGTCTAGGGTCCCTGCTTCCCAGGGGACCCTGCTCCCTGGGGGCCCAGCGGGAGCCAGGCCTCTCCCCAAACTCGGCGGCAGTGGGAGCCACAATGACTGCTCTGCCCTGGGCCCAGGTGCCTCCCACCTGAAGAGAGATGAGGGAGGGGAGCCTTCTACTGGACTGCGGAAAAGCAGTGTGTTTCAGTCACTGAAGAAGCCCCTACCGGCCTTTGAAGAACGCCACGTAAAAGATGGGGGTGTAGGAATTCACGAACTTCAGCAGGAAAGCCTTGAAGATCAGCCTCTCCTCGAAGCTCTTCTCCGTCTTTGGAACCTCTAGAAGGAGTGAGACATGCGCTGCTGAGCCACTGCCCCGGGCCAGGCTGACCACTTCCCTCAGCTGTCACAGCAGTGAGGCTCAGAGAGGGTGAGTGACCAGCCCAAGGCCCCACAGCCGGAGGGAGGCGACCTGGGGCCGCCTGGCTCCAGGGCTTGGCCAGGGCACTCACCGATCTTGGTGAGCCACCTGGCTATGCAGCCGTACACCTCGTCCAGGAGGATGATGACCACCAAGTTGATGATGACCGCCGTGGCCGTGACAGTGACCCGGATGTTGGACCGCACGGAGGGGGAGGAGTTCATGGCTAAGGCGGCGGCCGTAGAGATTCTGTAGATGATGACCCCGAGGACGATGGCGAAGGTCACTGCGATCTGCGGAGGGAGGAGGCGATGCTCTTGGCTGGGTCCCCTTGGGCCCATCGGAACCTCCCCCAGCTCCCTGGGCCCAGCTGTCCCCCCACCCAGGAGCACTTCCGCTGCAAAACCAAGATGGGTGTTTCTTGTCACCCACCAAATGCCATGGGTGTGCCTACCAAGCTTGGAGGGCAAGGTTCTGCCACTTGCTATGGGGCATCGTGACGTCTTGCCCACTGTCCCCGACACGACTTAGGGTCGCTGCAACCCCAGAAGCTGCCTGGCTTGTGTGACGGCAGGCTGACTACAGGGGGGGCTTCCCCCCAGCCTGGATGACCCTGAGTGGAAGCAGTGACGTTCTCCATGCTATTGCAAGAGGTGGGTGGGGCGTGGGATGGTCTGGTCCCACTGGCAACGCTGCAGGCCTGGCTGGGACAGATGGATGGGGTCCCTTCTCCCAACCTCGCCAGGAGCCACCCACACCCGTCGGCTTGTCCCTGGGAACGAGACCCTCATCTTGCCCAAACCACTGTGGGACCAGAACATTCCCTAAAACTTGGACTGGCGGTCGCTTGAGAGGCCGGGCTAGGCTAGGATGACAAGTCTGTTCTGTGTGGAGCCGTGTGTCTGCCTGGGCTCGTCTTCCTTATCCCCCAAGGCCCTGACTCGCCCTGGAAGACCTTGTCCTCACTCTGTCCTGTCCTAACAGTGAGGATGCCTGCAAATCCCAGTCCCGAGGGGACACTGAATGGAGGGCAGTTGTGCAGGGCTGTCACCCGAGCCCGACTACACTGCACCCTCTGTGTGTCCAGGGTCCTGGGCATGTCACTCCCGCTGAGGCTGTGCAGGGCGGCCCACCCCTGACAGAACGGCCCCTCGAGGCTCCCAGGACAGCCCTGGAGGGGCACTGAGCCATGCTGTGTGCCTCTGATTGCAGCTTGGAAGGGCTATGGCTGCTTCACCCCAGAGGGAGGCCACAGCGACGGGCATCTCCCAGGAAGCTCTTATTGTAAATTTCGGGCCAGTAACTCTGTAGCTGTCCATATCTGCGGGCGACTGAACGGTGACCACACACGCCCGGGGAACGTCCTGATGAAGTGGGGGGGCCCTGTGGTGAGGTGTGGGTACCTCTCCCCGCCAGCTCCCAGCTCCTGGAATGCAGGCTTTCCTGGGAAAATCCCTCGCTCCTGCCAAGAGGCCCCTCCCAGGGGAAGGCACCGCCCTGGGCTCTGGGACGTCCCTCCTGCCTGTGTGTGGAGGTGCAGACGGGGCGCCAGGCCTGCAGGGTGACTCAGCAAGCTGTCATGGGGGTGCACCGGCCTTTCCCTGTCAGAGGGCCGGTGCACCCCCATGACAAGCCCTATAGCTGTGTCCCCTCCTGGGTGCAACGCCCCCTCTGGAAGGAAAGGGCTGTGAGGGCCAGGGTTTGGCCACTGTGTTCATACCAGCATCTCCAGGGTCAGGAGCACGGGGGCACCTTGTAGGTGCTTGACTGCTATTTGTTCGGGGAAGGAAGCTCCCGAGTGCAGGACAAAACCGATTCATCTGTGATGGGGTCCCCAGGACCTCAAGGGCCAGCTAGTTCCCTAACCCACTGTCCCACATTTGCGGCAGTGACAACGTGCCCATTTCCCCGCCCCTCTGCAGACAGGGGGGGCCAGATGCAAGCAGAGGTGTGGGCAGGCCTTCTGGGAAAGCACATTCAAAGAGGGGCTGCCTCCGCTGGCCTCTGTCTCCTTCCCCTTCCTCCTGCCTGGAAAGTGGAGGTGATATTGGAGGTGGGGCAGCCACGTTGTGACCAAGAGGGACACAGGCACAGGACAGGTGTGCAGAAGGCCAGAGAAACCTGACGGAGGTGCCAGACCAGCCCTCCACTGCCCACCACCTTGATCCTTATTACGAGAGAAACTCAAAACCGCCTGAAGACTATTCAAGGAAGTGACCCGTAACACGAGGGCTCTTGCCCGAACTTGCCGTGGCGCAGAAGGGCCCACAGCCTCCCACCTCCTGTCACCCCCTCGCTGGACCTTCTGTGCTGACATTGCTTCTTCTCTGCCAGGAGGGGCTGAACCTTGGTGCCTGAGTCTTCTATTTCCCGCACCCCGTCCGCCGTCGGGTGAGCCCCGTGGATGCTCCAGGCAGGGACCACGTCATCCTACATTACCCCGCCAGCACTCCTGTGCTATTTGGGGAGTGTGCTCCAGGATCCTCAAAACACGGCTGGGCCCACTGCCACCCAGTCATCCTGACAGCCCAACGGCCCTCCCCCCACCCCCCAGTGGCTCCCAATCCGTGGTCTTGGGGGTCCCCACCACACATTTCTTTACATCAGAGAGGTCCTTCTTGCCGTGTGAGAGAGTGTTAGGGGAAACGGAGTCCTCCCTCTGCTTCCAACTATTCAGGTTAGGGGGCCTCAGATGCCACCCCCAGTGGAAAACCAAGGCAAGCCCACCTGTGTGTCTCCAAGTTCATACGGAAGGGCGGGGGGTGTCTCAGGGCAGACTGTCTGCCTGGCCTCTGGCCTGGGGAGGGGGTGAGACCTCTGGCCTCCGTTTCCTCAGCAGCAGGAGGGGGACAGGCAGGTGTGAGGCCCTCAGGCCACTGGGCACAGCCCAGCCCTTGGTCCACAGCGGCCATGCGGATGACCTTGATAGCAAGGTCATCGCTACAGTGACCACAGGTGGCCCTGACCCATTGTGGGGGGAATGAAAGCACGGCTAGCATGGGCCTGAGGCCTTCCAGGGATGCAGCCCAATTAACTGGGGATTAAAATCCCCCAATAGAGCCGGCCACAGTGTTGGCAATTCATTCAAATCAGCAGCGTCCGGATGAACCTGGCGTCACCGGCCCTCTGTCACCTGAGTGGCATCGTCCTGATTTTTGTCCTGTGTGTTCTTCACTTACTGGTTTTCTTTAAAAGCCCTCCGTTTTGTCTTAAATAATACCTGTGAACTCCTAGGTCTGAATGACTAGTTACTTATATGTGGCACTCTCAGAATGAAAGATGTGTGTCAGGGACGAAAGGAAACCACCGCACAGGCCCTAGGGCTTGGGAAGCCCCCTGGGGGGGTCACTGCAGAACCCTGGCCCCTCCCCAGTTTAGGGGGCTGGTGGAATCCCCCCACCACCCTGCCTAGCCTGGGATGAACACAACTGCCACGAGGATGGCTGGCCCCATCCAGGTGAGCACTGCACACCTTGGTACACCTCCCTCCTTTACCTCCCAGAGCTCACCATGAAGATGATGGAGACCAAATTGGTGAAGTAGGCTGGGAACCGGTCTTTCCAGGTCAGCTTCACCTTGTCTGTCTGCAACACGAACAGGGCTGGGTCAGCGGTGGGGACCATCCCAGTGGAAAGATGCGTGTGTGCACGTATGTATGGGCGTGAACAACTTGGACAACAGAAACACGGTTAAAAAATAATGATGAGCGAATGCAAACATCTGGCATCCGGGGCCTTATTCCCGATGAAATGATGCTACGAAATGATAGAAATAATAGTTGTCTAAAAAAGTGAGTCCTCTGTGTACGGGGCGTGATGGTGCCAGAGGCTTTTCTAAATTAGATGATCAGACCCCCGCCTGGGAGAAGCCTGGACTCCTTTTCGTGGCTGAAGGTCTCATTTCCAAGGTCAGAAGATCTAAGCTGTTTTCCTTCGCCACCCAGACCATAATAGTAATTTTCCTTTGCAGAGCAAGTTGAAACAAGCCACCAGCGCTCTAAGTTCAAAGGCTGCCCGCCACGTAGCAACGGCGGAGAGCGGGGACACGTGGTCGGAAGGCTCTGGCACAGGGACAGCAGGGTCTGGAGGGACCTGAAGTGGACGCTTGTTGCTAACCTGGGATGTTTCAAGAATGGGGTGGATTTTGAATGGGAAAAATGCATGGACGAGGTCAAAGAATGCTGGCAGGCATGACACCCGAGGCCACGCATTCCAGGGCAGGTGGCATGCGTGTTAATGAGACCAGGGACCACTGGCAGGCAGCTGTGACAGGCACGTTTCACAAGCTCCAGAGACAGCCGAGCTCCCCCCACAAACCCACCACAGCCATGCAGAGACACCTCAACACGCATCACAGCCCGTGGGTGCCGAAGGAAGGCAAAGCAACGTGGGTGTGAATGTTAAAAGGATAATACAGCAGTCAGAGTCGGTTGAGGAAAACACAGTGGACTTCGGTCATCTGCAAACACTCAAGCCTCGCGACGGCCCGACGTGACATGTACCAGTTTCACCCCCGCCATGGCTGTCTTAACCCTCTGCCTCCATTTGTTTGCTGGCTCCTCTGGAAGGTGCCGGCGCTTCTGGGGCGGGTGGAGGAAACAAGAGAGCACCGTGGGGTGAGACCGCCACCCAGGCTCCCATCGGCCCCCTGGGCAGCCAGCGCATCCCTGGCTGTGCCGGCTGCTGGGGCTGATTCAGGCTCTGGGCATCTTAAACCCATCAGAGGTGGCAGAGACCCACATTCTAAAAGAAAGGCTGCCACAAAGGTAATGGAAATGAAAACTCCAGCCTGGAAGCTCGGTGGGCTCCAGGGGGCCCCTCTCACCAGACGGTGGCCGTAATTCAGACGGTGCATCTTATGCAAAGGCGAGGATGACCCTGAGCATTTTACGCCAACGTGAAGGAAGCCACACTCAGAATCCTAACACGTCAATGAAGGGGTGGATCTTTTCTTTCCTAAACAAATTCGGTGCCATAGCTGGGGGAAGAATTAAAACCACAAAGTTGGGAGCCAGGGAAATGGAGGGGAAAATCAAGAGAGGGTGTGGCCCCACGGAGGCATTCAGGGCCTGGCGTCACCATCAGAGGCTGGCAGAAATGAACCCCGATCTTTGTTGCTCTTGTGATCAAAGAGCTCGGGTCAGTGACCGGGAATCTGGCATGGCTGCCCAGGCCCGGCACTCGGGCTTGGTCAAGCCCCTGACTTAAGTGGATGTGACATGGGCCACTGAGCCCTTTTTTCCTTAGGAAGGAATGAAATCCCATCCACGTTCATGCTACGAGGGGCCACCGTAAAGCCGTGGGGTGGACGGTCAGGGGGCAAGGATGCTGCACTGCACGCGGGTCGTGGTGGCTCATCATGGGGGCCTGGGGGCTTCAGAGCAGCGGCGACCACGCCTCTCCCTTTAGGAGAGGGGACGCAGCCCATGGGGGGCTGTTGGAGCCCTTGGTTCAAGGCCACAGGGCGGCCGCGCTGAAGGCAACGTGCTCGGGACATGCGTTCTGATGTGTTAAGTTAAAAGGCCAGTCTCCTCATTTGGGGTGGGGACTCACGCTTTTGTGGTTATTTTCTCTGCACCCTCGGTCCCTCTCAGACTCTGAGCTCAGGGAAGTGCACCCGCTTTCTGGCTGCAGGAGGACTGGGCTGGGCTTTTTGCTCTGTTACGGGAACTGGGGCCCGAGAGGGGGTTTTGCTGCACCCACTTTGCCCCCCAAGGAGGGGACTTTTGATAATTGGGACCCCCAGCCACTCTGTACCAGCAAACTCTGTCCATGGGACACAATGACAAGAAAAGATCGATGCAGGGGTTTGCTCCGGTCACTCCCAGAGGCTGAGGGTGCAGATGTGACGCAGCACACCGGGATCCGGGAAAGGTGTCCTACAATTGTTCCCCATCCCTTCAAGACCTGACTTTCCAGCCTCAGTGAGAGGTGGACAAGGGCCCGGGGGCTCTGTGCTTGTCCCATGTCATATAAAAAACCTCCGTTAAAAAAATAACCAAAGCACCCCCAGAGGTTTGTGAGAATTCAGGCTGCAAACATGACTGCCAATTTGAATGAGAGGTTTTGAGGAAAAAGAAAGGCATTTGTTATAAAAAAAAAAAAAAGGTGACGGCTTCAGGAACATCACAAAAGCACTTCTCTCTCTCATTCTCACGGTCTGTGGGTGAGACAAGGAACTGGCCAGCAGCTCAGGGACCCTGTTGGGGCAAACCCTTCCAACCATCATTCAGTGTAGAACTGGAGGGCTGGACATAATGACCACCCAGAGCAAAAAAGCTGCAAAGCTACTCGGTTCTTGATGTTGAAATGTTGGCTGAAGTTTGAGATCACCCTCAGGATAGATCAAAAAGGTAGATCTCTACTCTAGCAGGTTTGACAAATCGGCCCCTTGCTTGTTTTATAAATAAAGTTTTATTGGAACACAGCCAGACCCATTTGTTTACCTGTTGTCTATGGCTGTTTTTATCCTACAATGGCAGAGTTGAGTTGCTATGACAGAGGGCTGCAGGGTCTAAAATATTTACTATCTGGCCCTGTCTGGGGGCCGGCCCCCCAAATACACAGTGTTTGCCGATCCCTGGTCTGAAATGTTGATGCATGTAGAATGTTTTACTGCTGGGAAAGCCAACTGGCAGCGGCCACCGTACCTCTTTGCTTTTGGATTCTTTCCTAAGAGACTTCTCCAAAACTCTGGCCTCATATTCGGCTCTGGGATGGTCCTGCGAAAGAAACCAAGTCAGCGGGGAGTCTTTGTTAATTCTGTGAGTTTGAGACCCTCAACAGGAGCACGCATGGCAAAATCAGCCCAGACATTCCCTTGGACACCCTTTGGGGCCAGTTCCTAGCTGGCTGTTGGTACCATTTTCAATTTAGAACTCATTGTATGCAGTTCATCCAGGATTCTCCACCTTGTGGGGAACCCTAGCCCACTGGGAAGGCCACAGAATCGGGCTCTGTGTCCTGCAGGCAGGTCAGTCTGCACCAGGCTGCAGCCCATCCTGCAGGCCACTCACTCTGAACACCCAGCCATGAACTGGCCCCTGAGAATATCCTATCTGGAGCCGTGGGGGTCAGAAGAGATGGCAGGAAGTGTCAGCAAAGCGGGGGCAGACCAGAGGCACCAGACCTCGGGGGAGCCCAGAGCAGATCAGCGAAGGGCACTGGAACAGAAGAACAGGGGTTAAGAGAGACCCAGAGGTGGGGGAGGAAACGGAGACCCCTGCACGCCATGGAAGAGCTGCAGGGAACCGCTCAGCAGAAACAGACGGATCAGGTGTGTGAGAAGGTCCCTCTCCCAGGGAGACAGGCTACCGGAAGACAGAGGAGTGACAAAAAATTCCAAACCTTGACAGCCTCCTTCCGGGAACCAGAAACGTAAAACAAAAACAAAAAGATTTCATTACTTGCGTTGTTTTTTTAAGAAACAGGCTACGTCTGCTAAAGATGATCTACTTAAGAACCTGGATGAAGGTAGTTGGACGTGGGTGCATAAGGAGGGCTCACTAAAGGCTGATGCTACTTTAGGGTGACCGTGTGTGTTGCTGCTTCTGCAGGTCACATGGTCTAGGTAATTCCCGAGGGAGTGCTGGGCTGAACTGTCTTAGACTCAGGGAAGGAACACACAGGCCAGATGACTGGGTACAGGCTTCCTTCTGCTCCGAGAGCGGACATCTGGGGTCATGTCGTGGAGAGGCTGCCCCTTCGTGTCGGGTGATTAGCCCCAGAAGAGGCCCTGGCCAGCCGTGGGGGGCTTGCTTTCGGGGACTCATTCGGGGTCATTGGGGACCCGTGCCCAGTGGCTCTGATCGCCACCCCACCATCTAGGGTCTGAGCCCTCAGGTTGAAGAGTTCACGGGACGGGTCCCCAAGGGATCGAACTGCCCCAACCCCAGGGACATCATGAAAAGGGATGCTCTAAATCTACTTCCAAAATAACAAGACAACACTCTGCTTTTTATTCTATTTGAATCTTTAGAACACGCTCTGGCAGACAGGTGACCCAGGGCCTGTCATGGGGGATGGAGTTCCACGCCTGTCTCTGCCCCTAAGGAGCCGCGTGTCTCTCCTTGCATCAGCCTCGGTCCCGCCATTTGTGAAACAGGACGATGAGACCCACTGGGGAAGAGGTTGAACCCGGAGGTGGGAGACGGGTTAAGGGACACCCGCTGGTGCCAGGCCCTGCTTGAAGTGCTTTATATCTGCTGACCCAGGGAGACCCCCTCAAACCCTACTCCTGCACCCCTGTTTGAGAGGTGAGGACACTGAGGCACAGAAAGGTTAAGCAACTTGCCCCAGGTCACACAGCGAGGGCGGTGCAAGGACAGCCTGGTCCCAGAGGCCGTCTCGTCTCCACTAAGCTGGTGCCTCTTCCAGCAAACTAGCACCCTTGTCTGTTGACAATACTTTCAGCACAGAGCCTGCACAGGGGATTCTCAGCTACACATTTGGCTGAAAAGTGACCCAGTCTTCAAGGGAGTGCGTGTGCGGGGAAATACAATAATAGGGATGTTTAAAAAGATGATGGAAGAGATTTTCACATCACAGTGAAGATGGATGAGCAGTTTCTCTTTAAAAAAACTGAGCAAAAGATTTCATAACATGAAGCTGTGGTCGTTGTGGCCACACCTAATGGCTCTGCTATTTGGGAGGCCTTGTTCCTTTTTATTCCCACTCATATCACGGGGATTCTGGCTGAAGCTGGCAATTCGGGATGGGGCAGTGGCAAAGTTTCTCCTGAGCAACCCCGGGGAAGGGTGTCCACCCGCCATCGCAGTGGCCATTCGATCTCGAATGCCCCTCTCTTTGGTGCATGCAGATGCCCAGTACGTGGCTGCCCTCTATTAGTGAAGGATCTGCCCCACTTCTCAGCCATGTCCGACTGCAGGCCAAGAGCTGGCTCTGAGGATCGTGGGTTTGGCACCCGGGGCAAAGCCTCACGGCTGCCTTTGGGGACTCAGCCTCATGGGTGGCGGTGATCGCCTCCCCAGACCCGCGGTGCTGCCCGCAGACAGGATGAGGTCAGCATGGTGAGCCTTGGCCTGAGTCCCCAGCCACGCTGCTGGGTGGTGCGTCCATGTGAGCGTGGAGATCAAAAACACTAGAACAGACATCATACGGTTGCCCCGGCAACTGCGGGGGATTCAAACAGCAGGGATGGGAACTGAGAGGCAGGCAGGGAGCAGCCTCGCCTGGGCTTTAGGACCAGGGCTTCCGCGTGAGCCTCCCAGAAGCAACAGGGTGGGGGCCGGGGGGGGACACGCGGCGGGGGGGGGGGGCCGGGGCGCAGGTGCCAAGCCCACTCACCTCCTCCTCCTCGAAGCCTGTGAGGTCCCAGCGGTAATTGAGCCGCATCTGTTTCCGCTTCCAGTGCTCCATGAAGGTGGCGGCTGCGGGGAGGGAGGAAAGCCAGGAAGTTAGGGGCTCAGAGGCCCCACGACCTCAGATGCCATGAAAGCATTCTCCCCTTCTGCACCATCCGGTAAGTGAGGGCAACAAGTGCTGGACCAAGAACTTCACATGAATTAAACTGTTCAGCTCTCCCACTGACCCCGCGAGGCAGGGATCATCTATTGCTCATTTAAAAAAAAAAAAGCTTATTTATTTGGTTTATTTATTTATCTGGGTCTTAGTTGCAGCAGGCGGGCTCCTTAGTTACAGCACGTGGGCTCCTTAGTTGCGGCTCGCCAGCTCCTTAGTTGTGGCATACGAACTCTTAGTTGCAGCCTGCCTGTGGGATCTAGTTCCCTGGGCAGGGATTGAACCCGGGCCCCCTACACTGGGGGCACAGAGTCTTATCCACTGCACCACCAGGGAAGTCCCTATTGCTTACTTTACAGTTGAAAAAACTGAGGCACAGGGAAACCGAGTCCCAGCCAAGGTTGTTCTGCCAGCCGGTGAGGGGCTGGGCAGGCTGGTCCCAGAGCTTTTGCTCTTAACCATCCTGCTCCATCCATCTTGGGGACCCCAAGTCACAGGTGGGGTCAGAAAGAGTGAAAGGGGAGCCAAGGTCACTCACTCAAGTTTCAAACCCCTGCAGGTGGCCTGACTTTAGAGCTGCAGTCTTAGCTGCTACATCCTGCTTTGTGTTCGCAACAGACGAAGCATAGCTCAAATGCCACCTCCTCCAGGAAGCCTCCAATCATCCCCCTCAGTGTCAGGGAAGAAACCAACTCGTCTTGGGACCTCTCCTGCTCATGCTGTTCATGCCACCTTCCATTATGGTCCCTGTCCCATGTCTCGCGGCCCTTCTGGGGTGTGGGGCAGGGATGGGGCCTTGTCATCTGGGTCCCCCATGGAGAGCCCAGTGTCAGGCACAAACAGGTGACTCAAGAGAACTCACTGAATGAATGAATGGCTTTTATGAGTAGACACTTGCAAATGGAGATACCACTGACTGAAACATTTATCATTAATTCTTCCCACCCACAAGGGAAAATCAGCAGAGACTGAGGGCTGGAGTAGCAATAAGGGTGGCCATAAAGTTAACCAGAGCTCCGGATTCTTGAGCTGCTATGTGCCAGGTACTGTTGAAAGAGCTATCACATGAAGTATTAATCTCATTTAAACCTCATAGTAATCATAGGAGGGAGCTGCTAGAATTTTCCTCATTTTACAGATGAGAAAACTGAGGCTCGGCGGAATTAAATGGCTTATCTGATAAGTGGCAGTGTCAAGATGGACATTCAATGAGGACTTTAGTGCAAATTCTCCAATGTCATCCTTCACCGGGAAAGAATACAGGCGTTGGACCTGGCAAGAGATGGGTCTGAATCTGACTCACCTCCTGGTTCAGAGAACATGCCCACCTCCCCATTAAGGTGAGGTGAGAACAGGGCCTCTGAGCTTGCACATATCTGCGCATAACGGGTACCTGCTCATCAAGTATTAGCTACGGTGCCAACCAGGTCCAGCCAGGAAACAGGAACCTCTTAGGTCTTCCGGACTGGGGTAATTTAATCCTGGGACTTGGCCACGTAGACAATGGAAGAGCTGAGAAGACAAGCAGTGGACGGTGAGACCACCCAGAGATTAGCGATAGCAGGAAGCTGCTGCCTATCTAGGGGTGGCGGGACCATGGGAGGTGGTGTCCCCAGAGCCAGAAACTGGAGCTGCCCAGAAGAAGCTAGGATCATGGAGGGAGGGCTTTCTGGAGGGAGGTAGAGCCAGGGAGAAGGCAAAACCGTTGCCAGAGGTGCCCCAGGAAGCACAGGAAGAGGAGGAGAAATACCCTGACTTCTCTCCCGCCTTCTGATCCCCCATCAGGGCTTCCCATTGGCTGAGCCTTCCAGGAAATGGTACAGCAAGGGAGCCTGGGAAATGTAGTTCCCTGTGATACAAATGTACTCTCGCAGACACATATGGCTGGTGGGTGTAGCCTGCACCGCCTCCTAAGAAGGAAGGTGTGAGGATGTTTCCTCCTGTCTCTCTCAACGTGTCCCTGGGTCACTGTAGTGGAGGCCCTTGGTTGGGGCCCATTCCCACACCACCAGCAGTTCTGGAAGGCCCGTCTCTCCTTCACTGTGTTCTGACAGCTGTCTCTCTCCGGCCTCCTCTACCTGCCCATGGCAAGGCCTCCTTTGAGACCTTGGGCTGAGTGGGGGAGGAGGGCTGGCTCCATGCACAGCAGGGAAGCTGGCCTGTTAACCTTCCCTGTCTCAGCCTCCCCATGTCTCCCCATTCCTAGGCTCACCGACCCACACCTCTACCTCCTGGACCTCCCCCTCCCTCCACTCACCAGCCTGCAGTGTGATAACTGTTACCTTTTAATGAGGACTCGGCCTGCACCAGGCTCTGTGCTAGTGATTTAGCGACACCAGTTATACGAACCCTCAAAACAACGCCATGCAGTAGGAGTGATTTCCACTCACTCTTTTACAAATGAGGACAGAGACTCAGAGGATTAAATGCTCTGCCCGAGGTCAACTTCAGGTTAGCAGCAGGAGTGGGATTTGAACCGAATTCTATTTGACCCGAGTCTACACTTAACCACCATACTTGACCGACGTCCTGCACAGATATTTGCTTTTCTTTACGGGAATAACAACTATAGTCGTCAGAAGCCTGAAGATGACAGCAAAACTTGTACTGCCATTTTATGGATGAGGAAATGCAGGCACAGAGAGGTTAAGTAACTTGTCCAAGGTCACACAGCTAGGCAGCTGGTATTTAAACCCAGGTGTTCTTGCTCTAGAATTTTACTGTTAAATGTCTTAAGATAGATACAAGGGCCCTCTCCCAGCGGTATCTGTAGGTTGACCAGGACCGAGACGGGAAGCCAAGGAGTGGAGATGGTACATAGACAAGGCTTGTTGTGCTCGGCTATGTTTAAGAAATGCAGGCCTTTTATATAAAATCATGAGTTTCCTGCTTCTCCTTTAAAAATCAGAAACTCTGGCACCAGAAGGCTGGAGCCGAGGAGTGACAATCCATTTGTCAAGGTTTGGGCGTGCCTTCTCTGCTGGGCCACAGACCCCACTATGCCTATTGCCTGGGCTCTCGGGCTCCGAGTTTGCCACGCCTTTGCTCTGCAGCAAAGGGGCGGAGCTGTGACATTCAGGCTTGGCCAGTAGGACAGGCGATGGGAAGGCTCTTGCTGAGTTGGGGGCAGTCCTGAGGTCTCAGCTCAGAATCAGGCACCTTGAGCAGTGTGAAAACTCACCTGCTACTGGACTGGGCACAGGCAGGAAGAAAACCGAGGGCCCCTCCTTTGCAGCTGTGCTCCTGCAGCCCTCCCTCTCTATACCAGCCATGTGGACAGCAGCGGGTCCTGCCAGGCTCCCATCCCTTCCCTTCAAGGTACCCAATAATAGTTCTCCTGGCTGACGTGCCAACTACATCACACAGACGTAACACGGTGTCTACCTGGTGTCAGGTGCTGGGTATGCTTGGGGCATCTCCTTTCATCCCACCCGCAAGCCCTCAGCGCAGAGATAACGCACTCCTTCACACCGATGGGTAAACTGAGACCCTGAGGAGTCAGGTGACTGGTTAATATACAGCAGAAACCTCGATCCAGGACTTCTGACCCCAAGATCGACTGGGGTTAGGGGTGTGGCTTCCCGCCCACATGAGGACAAGCTGTGGGCCAAACCCGGTCCAGGGTACAAAAGACATGAAGAGATGGCCTTGACCCCAGCAGCCATACGAAGGGGCCAAGGAGACAAGACCATCCCCCCAAAATCCAGAACCCAGAGGGCAGTGCAGCAGGTAGTGAAGAGGGAACCCAGGCCAGGGTGCAAGCAGGTGTTTGAGCTTCTCGCAGCAGGAATCGCAGGTAGCGAAGAGGGAACCCAGGCCAGGGTGCAAGCAGGTGTTTGGGCTTCTCCCTTCAAACACTTGTTTTAATGACACAGTGTTAGACAAACACGTTCTTGTAGAGGAGCCCAGAGGCAGCAGGTGAGCGATGGACCCTGGATCTACCATGGCTCGAAGCAGGTATGAGCTTGGGCATGGGCCGCGCCCCCCCCCCCCCCCCCCACCTGCCTGCCAGACTCGGTCTCCACGTGTGTACAATGGGCTTGATAACAGTGCCCGCTGTGGGGCCTACGGTGAGGCACCCATAAGCCGATGCGCCGTGGAGCACAGGGCAGGGCCCACCCGTGGCAAGGGGCTCGACGGAGGAGCGGTCCCACGACCTGGCTGCACCTGAAGGATCTCCACCGCTTCTCATTAAGTGGCTGATGATAGAACAAAACATATGGTTGGTTCCATTTATAGAAAGCACCCAGAATACCTACAGATAAATCCATCATAGAGGCCGAAAGCAGACTGGTGGTTGCCAGGGGTGGGCACAGGGGGAAAGGGACAGACTGTTAAATGGGCACCAGGGTGCCACCTGGGAGGACGGTGGTAATGATGGCAGGACACGGTGAGTGTACTAAATGCCCCGAACTGTGCACTTAAGACAGTTAATTTATGTAAATTTCACGTGCATTAACAAAAAAAAGAATCACAGAACAATGGGTACAGATTGTGTTTATGGGCTTCAGTGCCCCTGCTGTAGGCCGGAGCTGCAGAGAAAACGGACCAGGACACACCCGCATGCTTCCGTGGGGAAGGGGCAGTCTGTCCATTCCCACCACCCCCCCGGATTTCTTAGAGTGTGGGCTGTACCGGAAGCCCCACCGCAGGGGGCTTGCTGAAATACAGACCCCTGGGCACCACGCTGAGCCGGAATCTCCGTTCTGGACGAGCGCTGCGCGTGGCGCTGTCCACACAGGCGTCTGGACGCACTGACCTACTCACCGTCTGTCCTTCCCTTCCGTCCGTCTCTGTCCACCAGGCGAGCTGCTGGTCTACCCCCCGCAGGACCCCGGGCCTCTGCTTCGGCTCTCCTCCCAGGCCGCACCCCACCCTACCTCCCTCGGGCCCAAACTACGTTCACTCC